TATCCAAATAGGAAATAGCTAGATGGTGGCATAGACTGAATAGAGATTGCTGTTTATTATGATTAATACAAAAACCTAGCACATGACTGCCATCGATAGATGCCACCTTGAGCCACGGCTGACATTATCGCTTGTTATATATATTATATAAAATTAAAGCAGCGTCTGCAATCAATAGCCATGTGTCCAGAAAAAAAAAAAACAATATACTAAATGGTGTTTTTTCTTTCATTTTTGTCTCTTTAAATTTCTAATATTCCATTTCCATCCTTTTGCTTCACTTTTTTAGATTGGATCGTTGTGATTTAATTAGCATACAAGAACACACACACACAAAATTGAGGGAATTTGCATATAAGTATGTACGTGGGACTTATACACAAGAGATGTAAATGGGTCGCTCTAGTATAAATAATCCCTTGCAACTTTCGTTCCTTTCTAATTTAACATTATAATTAATTAACAAGATATAATCGTCAAGTTTAAAACATTTATTAAAGTAATATGGAGATTAATTGATTAGTACATACATACATAGCATAGATATAAATTAAGCTTAAAATTGAAGACAGAAAAATAACAACTCGATCATGACGGGGAGGAGTGAAATTGGGTTTGGGATGCAGGACCCAAATGTGAAATGGCATATCGAAAAGCTATGGATGAATGGATGGAAGGCAATTAATTAAGGCCCTCCGATAAGTGATGATGAAACGGCAGAGAAGGCACTCACAAGTCACAACAGGTTACACGTATATTGCCGAAGTTGTTCGATCATATCCCCAGTACTCCCACGACACAGTGACGGTGAGTGGAAACAAAAACGAAGGTGAGATGATTAGGATGTTGTTGAGTCAGTTGTCTTTGCATCTCTGGGCCCCGCCTGCACACTACTGTCTATACACACATGGGTTGTTTGCCCCATGTGATTTTGTTTGACTTTTACTTTTTTTTTTTTTTAATTTTATTATGGTATGACAATCTCTTATAAAATCATCAATAAGTTTCAACATTTCATAACATGACTCCATCCAACAAATAAAAGAAGCTCAATCACTCAACAATTTAAGCCCCCAAAATCCTATCCTCACTCCAAATTACGACCACTGCACGCATTCGAACCTTACAATACAATACAATACAATTAATTGTATTGTTTGTTCACTCAATCAAGAATCTATTACAACTGATTAAGACTTCAAACTCATCGAAACAAATTAAAGAAGCTCCCTCTCTTGTTGCTTTCATATCAGCTCACATGGATGATACTTCATTTCCACCTTGTTTTTATTTTCTTCTTCCATACAAGACAGGAATAATCCCATATATCATTCTGCTTCCATCTGTTTTATTTTATTTTTTCTTTTTCAAGGTTAACTAAACCAACTGCTACTCTAACAAGTAACAACGAACTACGTACAGAAGCTTTTGTTCAAAAATAACTGTTAAGACCTATATATATATATATATATATTAATTATATTGCTTATTAAACAATTAATGCACCGCCGGCCAGGAACTAAAATACAGTTTAATTTTTAGGTTTTCGAGTTTGACCAAGGAAAGTTGTTCAGAATGTCCTAATCTTAATCTTAATAGTTGTAAATAATTATTATATATACATATATGACCTATGGGAGGAACAATCTGACTACTGAAGCTTCAGCATCTTTTGTGGAAACAATTCACTACTATCACACAAAAAATAGGGCCCCCCTTGCCCCCTTCAAAGTTCAAAGTTCAAACCCAAAGACACACAGTGAGATTGTTTCCAATTGGCAAATGGGTGTACAACTGTAAAGTGAGTGACAGTGATGAGAATCCCGTCTTCTACACTAGCTTGTATGGAATTTCCATTCATATATATGATCTGTATATCATTGTGACAGCTATCCTAATCTGCTCTCACATCTCACATGCATGTCTAACTAAGTGTAATGAGACGCCTGCAGCTGTCATGTATTACTTACTATACATATAGCTCCACCTTGAATTCAATGAAGTAATAATGACATCAAAGCGGGGCCCAAGCAGCCCACAATACATGTATATAAGATCGTGGTTATATTATATTATATTCGTATTATTAGAGATCAGGGGAGCTTGTGGTTTCTTGGTGAGAGGTGTTGATAGTTATAAAAAATATATGGGTGTGGACTCATGTATTTTATAACTACTTACTTATGAAGTATTGCCATTGCCTCATTGGTTTCACAGAAAACTGAACAGCTATTGTATTCAGCTAAAAATGGTTTATTGATAGCAAATAGGCTTTTTCCTTGGTCAGTTAAATTGAAAATTTAAGGATTCAACCCAAACCCAACACAATTTACAGCCACCCTTACCCTTGTTAGTTGATAGATATGCATATATGGTATTATCTTCTCTGCTTGGCGCATTATCTAGGTAAGAAGAGCTGAGGCCTGAGGGAGGGCACCCACACGTTTGTGTAGCTGAAACTTGAGAGGGAAAAGGATGGATTATGGAAAGATACACCTGTAAATAATTCTGTATTTTGAACCTTTAAACGCCTTTATAAAGGGTGGGTGCAGTGTAGGCCACCCTGCTAACATCTCTAGCTTGGCTCTCCCCACCCCCCTCTATCCCTTCCCTTGGCAGCTTTCATCCTTATATTTTCTCCATGCATGCCAACCCATGCATAGAGGGCCGGGGAGAGAAGAAGTATTGTCAGATTGGATGTTGGAATAGCAACTTGTTTATACCGTCGGTGACATAAAAAAGAAAGAGAGAATCGGAATAAATGTACTTAAGAGAAGAGGATGGGCCAAGATGTGGACATTGCATCCCACAAATCACAGTAACAATATATATATATATATATATATATATATGAAAGAAAAGATTTTTCATTTTCTCTTTTTAAGAAAAGAAAATAAAAAATAAAAAGGAAGGAAGAGTGATTTTGGATGGAAGGCTGGACTCTGGAGGTAGCACATGGCATTTAACAATTCATTCATGCACCTATGTGCTACCATGGATGGCGATGAGTGATGGCATGTCATTATATTATCGGCGCACGTAGCGATGGATGCTAAGATGGGGATATTTTTGGATCCGTCCGACGTATTTATATAAAAATGGGATCAAGGGAACAAAGGATGGGTCCATCTCCATTCTCCATATCCCTTGTACGAATGAACATACGGAAGATGGTTAGCTGCTGAAACGAAACGATCTCAATATCTCATCTCAGACGTTGAACGAACGGTTTACTGTTGCAAGTGGTTGAGAAGATGGCAATCTCTCTCTCTCTCTCTCTCTCTCTATTCCTTCTAGCGGCGTAGTTCACATGAATCCTGAATCAATGGCTACGTACGCCACGCCACAGTGGGGCCATTAGGGAACAATACCCACATGGGGAGAACATGCCTCGCTTCCCACGATTCTCCCAAGTCAGCACTTCCAACCAAGTTCCCAACTTTGAATGCTGGGAGGGTAGTGTGTACGGCCTCCTCCACTGGAGACTGGACAGCATTTGAATTTGGAACCGCTTCCGGAGTGGGCCCAATTCCAACACAACACCAACCAAAACGGCTACTCCTTGCCTTGCACAGTAGTTGCACTTGTCAACCCATATTTCTGATTTGGAATTTTCCTTTCCTCTTTTTTTTATTAATTCTTATTTTATATGGCTGAGTTTTTCCGCCGGAGTTTGCGGTTGTAAGACTACTAAGACTTGGGAATTGGGTGGGGGGGATTACGGGTCTAAATCTCAGAAGACTCAAGGGAGGGGCAAAAATGCATGTGCATTTCGCTCTCATTTTTAGTTTAGCATCTATTTATTATATATAAAAAACAAATAAAAATATTTAAAACATTATCTTGGGGTAGTTAAGCTAAGGGGAACAAACCTAAACGTCAGGTCAGACGCATGTAATTTACTAGTTTATAATTAGATAATGGGAACATTCTTCATGTCATTAGAAAGGAAAAACGGCTTAATTTGATATTTAAATATAGATGAGAAGTTGTGGATTCATTTGTAAAATGCCCAAACACAAACTAAACAAAAGGGGTAGAAGGGTGGGTGTGGATGTGGATGTAGACAACACCGACAACAATATCCTCCTATCCTGGCACTCTTTTGTATAGCTGTAATTATTCTTCGTTTGTATGACTGCAAATTAATGGTATGACGATGACCAGCTCGAATCCCAAATTCCATCCTTTGATTCGATTCGAATATGACCTACTTTCATTTTCCACTTCCAGTATTTTCATTTTTAATTTACAAGGTTAGTTAGGGCACGTTCAAATTAGTTAGCAGTTAGGCGTTGCATGTTATTTTCACTAAAAAAGTGAAATCATTCCCAACTGATGGTGCTCGGTTGGTAGCAAAGACCTGGGATCAAATCCCCTGCCATCCACCTCAACCTGGGTGGGACTGGGCCGGCCCTGGGGAGGGGTCAAAATGTAACTGATGAGAACCGAGAGGGAAAAACAAGTATTGTACGGTCACTTGCACTCCATTTAGCCAATTTTTAATGATATCAATCCAAATCCAATGTGATTCAGATTGATAAGATTCAAAATAAATTCGAAGATGAAACCGATAAGTTCTTATCTAAATATGTTTGATTGCGTTACATTTGATTTTATTCAAGACGTACAACCCTATATCTAATTATCTTAATTATGTAGAGAAAGAGAGAGAGAGAGAGAGAGAGAATATTTCTATATTGGTTCTGGACACCGGTTCCCAGAAGAGATAGGAAATGAGGAATATTTACCGCAGTTAATAAAGGGATAACAGACGGAGGAGGTTAAGGACTTTGGGTTGCTTAACGGCCTAATCTAAACTACCGAACCAAAAAAAAAAAATACAAAAAAAGATCAGACCCTCTTCTCTTCTCTAAACTCTAAAGCCCGAAATTACGAACGTGAAGTGTAGGTCCCACGTGTTTAGTTCAATCACGCCATCTTGCTCGGCTTTTTCCCCCTTTATAATTCCTTCTCCATCCCATCCCTCTCTATTCTCATCACTCGTTACCTCCCTCTTCTCTCCCCCTGCTACTTCAAACTTGAAATTAGTTGAAAGGCAAATAGAGTGTCGAGGAGTAAACAAACAAATGGCGACTTCACCCTTCTCCCTTCTGATTCTACTACTCCTAGTTGTACTAGTTCCAGCCCTCGTTGCCGCTTCCGCAGTTCAAGACCCCGAACTGGTGGTCAAAGATGTCGAGAGGTAATGTAAAGTGTAAACCCCCCCTGGCCTCTCAACTTCCCGGTATTATGTAAATGTATTTAATTTGTGTACTAGTACTAGCTCTACTACTACCAGACTACCAGTACTCGGTCGATCGACGCATGCACATTTATATATGTAACAGAGCTAATAATGTTAATGTGTGTGTTTTGATTTGAGGCAACAGGAGCATCAATGCGTCTAGAAGAAACTTGGGTTTCCTCTCCTGTGGAACCGGAAACCCAATCGACGACTGCTGGAGGTGCGACCCCAACTGGGAAAAGAATCGTCAAAGGCTAGCCGATTGCGCAATTGGGTTCGGTAAGCAGGCAGTCGGCGGAAGGGATGGTCGCATTTACGTTGTCACCGACTCCGGCGACGACAACCCCGTGAACCCAAAGCCCGGGACCCTCCGTTTTGCCGTCATCCAAGATGAGCCCTTATGGATCATCTTCGCGCGGGACATGGTCATTAAGCTAAAGGAAGAGCTCATCATGAATTCGTTCAAGACCATCGACGGAAGGGGGGCCAGCGTCCACATTGCCGGTGGGCCATGCATTACCATACAGTATGTGAGCAACATCATCATTCATGGCCTCCACATCCATGACTGTAAGCAAGGCGGGAATGCCAATGTGAGGGACTCCCCTACTCATTATGGGTGGAGGACCATCTCCGACGGTGACGGAGTTTCCATCTTTGGAGGTAGCCACATCTGGGTGGACCACTGTTCGCTGTCTAACTGCCATGATGGACTAATCGATGCCATCCACGGATCCACCGCCATTACCTTATCAAACAATTACTTTACTCACCATGACAAGGTGATGCTGTTGGGTCACAGTGACACTTACACCCAAGACAAGAACATGCAGGTCACCATTGCATTCAACCATTTTGGAGAAGGGCTTGTGCAAAGGATGCCAAGGTATATATATATATATACATACATATATATATAATTATAATTATAAGCCCCTCGATCCCAACCCAGGTGGTGAATTGAATTAGGGTTTTGATGATTCTTGCTGCATGAATTTATTGTTCATGGTCGCTCCATTTTATTTGCAGATGTAGACATGGATACTTCCATGTTGTCAACAATGACTACACCCACTGGGAGATGTACGCCATTGGCGGGAGTGCTGCACCCACAATCAACAGCCAAGGAAATAGATTTCTTGCACCCGACAACCGATTCAGCAAAGAGGTGAGAGCTTTGCTTTGAGATATGATTGAGACACCACAGCTGATGAGTTGACAATTAATTAATGGTTTTGAGTAATAACTCTTTCTGCTTACTTTGAAGTTTGAATTGGTCTAGCTAATGATTTTAATGAATCAATCCATCTCCACAGGTGACCAAACACGAGGATGCACCAGAGAGTGAATGGAGACACTGGAATTGGCGGTCCGAAGGTGACCTGTTGCTTAATGGTGCCTTCTTCACGCCGTCTGGTGCGGGAGCGTCGTCCAGCTACGCCAAGGCTTCCAGCTTGGGCGCCAGGCCATCTTCTCTGGTGGGTTCGATCACCACGGCAGCGGGTGCACTCAATTGCAAGAAGGGTTCTCGTTGCTGATCGATGATGTGAACCCCATCGAGTGCATCGGCTAGGACACCAATTGGGTCTTTTTTCCTTTTAACCTAGAATCATAATTAATTAGCGCAGCTGGAGTTGGGAATAAGAGTAACAAGTCACAATGAAGAAAAAAAATAGCCATCGATAAGATTACGGTACAGTCGTCATCCTTATTTTTCTTTTTTCCATTTACGAGTGTTATCTCTTATGATGACAACCTCGGCCTGTTGCTCTGAGAAACCATTTTGGCTTCGATTCTGTGTTACGAATCCTAATGGGATTAGAGCAAACAAGTGCAGAAGTGTTGATCTCTCTCTCTCTCTCTCTATCTATCTCTCTCTATGTATGTATTAATTATTGCCTTCATAGTTCATACATCAATTAAAGCCCTATATATTATCTTTTGATCTTTCTCTATCTCTCTCTTGCTAGAGATAATATATATATATATATATATATATATATCTAACAGCGCACAACAATAGTCCTCCTAGTAGAATCAGTTGGGAACAAGACAACTCAGTTCCTCAGAGGACAAAAACTTCTGGCTGCTGGTAGTTTGATCCTTTAATTTGGAAAGAAAAAAGAACAAATTAAGCCCACAGACTAGCGTTGGATTTTCCGGGGGCAATTTTCCAAATAAATCGAAGTATAACGATATGAGATCGTATCGTATGTAGAGACCGGACCTGCTAGTTTACCAACATTTAATTTGCACAGTTTGCCACTTGTACTTAACACGTGTTCATTCAAGCTATGAAGTGTCAGCGACACTTAACCCACAAGTGCAGTGAGCAGCACGTGTTGAGGACAGATGGCAAACACTGATCAATAAACCAGCGAAATGTTAACAGCTGATTGGAATTCACCGATACCAAAATAGGCTAAATAGCCACGCCATAGACACACATTTTTAACTCGAGAATCTTGTTTGAATTAATCATAGGTAGCACTAAATCAAAATGAGAATAGAAGCAAAGAAAAATACAAAACTCTCAATTTCAGTAAGGGCAAGCACATGCCTCTGATCCTTTCTCTATTATTCAACCCATCTCTTGTGGACCAGACTTTACAATAACATTTCATTGACAAAGTTACATACATATACAGTCCTCTCATGGCTTCTGTGTGAAAAGCTCCCAGCCTCCGACAATTTTAGTGCTATAATTCAATGCCACCAACCCTCATTATTAACCCCCCCCCCCCCCCCTCCAAAAAAAATAAATAAAGACCCATCTTGAGAAAATAATGCTTCTTAGGATCCATATCCAATGGCTCCATGCATCAACATAAATATTAACATAATAATCTCATTATAATTTGGGTTTAAATATTACAAAATAGACTTTGGTTGGGACTGAACCTGGCAACCTGTACCTAATGTGGGGTGGGGCGTAAGTGATACAACATTAGTCGTCCTGTTAAATTATATTCTTTGGAAGAAAAAGGCATTAAATAGCTTTTGAATTAGATTAAGTAGGGAGGGCATATATATGATATATATGGATGAGTTCATATATACTTGGTTTGGCTGAACCCGCCACCACTTGACTAGTGTGGCTGGCTGTGTTTAAGTTTGAACCCACCACTTGTGAATGTTGAGAGTAGGATAGGGTCCAGCCAACAGGTTGGGGCTAGTGCTATTGTTGGTGGGTCTACAAAAAGCAACAAAGCATTGCCATCTATCAAACATGCACAAGAGACTGGGAAGGTACAAACCACAAAATTTGGTGTAACCAAATGGAAATGGAAAACAGTTCAACGCATATTGGGAATGGAAATGGGCCGGAGATGATGATCGTATCTATATTTATAGCCGCTTAGTTAATAGTTATTTATTGCTGAGCCAGCCTGAGAGAGAGAGAGAACAGTTCCAAGTATGAAGAAGCAAGCAAGCAACAAGGCTGGATGGCACATTATTGCATGCAGGTTCATTGATCATCAAGGTTGGGAGGACGTGGTCCAAGCAGGAAGACCCCACACCTCACCAAATCAAAGGGCACTGGGGCTGAAATACCCTACCACGTTATGCGAGGGGACCAAGTGCCCAAACAATACCAACAAGTAGACAATAAAATAAAAGGAGTGGATTGAGACAGACGAACCAACCCACTTCACTTCACGGAATAGCAGTTCCCATTGGAAATGTAAGTAATAGTCTGGAACTGGATTGATCGTATAGAGTCTTTTATGTTTTATTCTCATATCGGTTCTGCCACCATTGGTTTTATATTTGTTGATTTGATTTTAAGAATAAGTAACGACAAGGTGCTGAGTAGTCATGGTTAATATGCTCCATTTGTTGGATGCTGGAACGTTGGGGGTTACGTTGCAACCAGCTGCAAGCATTTACGAAGTGTCTCTAAGCACTAGCTCAACTCAAACCATCCATCCAAATCGTATGATTGTTAGATTAGCAGAATCCTTCTTGGTCCCAACACTAACTAGTTGTGTTTGGTTTCACTTTCACACAGAATGAAGGAATAAAACGAATTATGCCCTTTGAAAATGATGTTCAATCAATGGCAAAAACGAATCTTTTTCCTGTTTCAATTGCCATTGTGCTAATTAATACTCTAAGAAAACATTTACCTTCCACAACTATTTTTATGAGCACTGCCAAATAGCATATTCCAGAAACAATCCATTTTCTTTCATGTTCTTTTTTACATGCAATCAAACAAAGCCCGTAAGTTAAAAAGTAAATAAAAAAAACGATTTTAATTTTAACTTTTTAGGGAAAAAAATCATGTAGGTTCCGTTTGTTTCACCCTGAAATAGAGAAATAATTTCTCAATCTGTAAACTTCCTGTCATATTTAGGCTGCATTTGGTTGCAGTTAAAGTCTTGACAGGGTGCAAAAGTTGCTTTTCTACATGATACAAATTTGTACTGTCTCGTTTGCATTTAATGGTAGTACAAATTTTTCATCCCAAAAACTGATGCAAAATTTGCACCACTTTCCTCCATCAATTATTTCTTGTATAAAGTGGAGACACATCATCTTGCATTCTACCTCATCTAAACAGACCCCTTTTCCTATCTCCGTTCTCTTTCATTTAAACTTTAAAGTGAAGGTCACTTCATTCTACTTCCTGTTTTACTTCTCACAAACAAACATGATAAAGTCAATTCTGAATCAAAACTACACCAGTATTTACACGATCCCTTAGCACTCTCATGCATTTACACCACTACAAATATAATTTGCACTGCAACCAAACACAGCCTTATGTCATAAATACCTACAAAACTGCAAAAGAACGTGAGAATGATAAATTGAACACTTCCATGGCTGGATTGCCTGAAAGTCCTAAAACTTAAAAATAGGTAAACTTGTATGAAAGATTGAAAGATATTACCAAGTTTCTAGGTGGCCCTTCATTTCATTGGATGGGCCCCTCCTAATGGAAGGCTTACACTAGAAACCAATGTCATCAGATATCTTTGTGATTTGTGAATCGCCTGCATCATCACATTCAAAGTTTTCAAAATTTAAGATGAAAGATGAGTCTTAATTTCCTAGTGTAAGATGGCAAATTATAGGGACCCTGTTCAATCAAAGGTCCTTTGTCTCTACTCTCTACGTCCTGTTTCTGGGTAGGAGATCCAGAGTGGCTTTGCTAACCTTGTAGACATAACAAGTTTTATCTTCATCAAAAAGAATACCTTAGATATTGGAATTAGAGGTGTGAATTAGATCCATTTTAAATAAAGGGGATGCGCCCCGAGAAAACCTTGGCTGTCCAAGTCCGACATCTGGCGAATGTTTTTTTAGAAGCCCACATATGTCGATTGTAGATGAACCAAATCTTTCCCGCAATTACAACCTTTCCTCAATCAGGCCTGCAACGATTTATATCTTCGTTGCTAATTGCTACTTGCTTGGTCAGGTAAATACTAAGAATTAAACATCATTACTTACTAAACAGTAAACACGAACGACGTTCATGTCTTTGTTTTCATTTGTTTTTAGAATTGCCACATCAGCTAAAAAACAAAAACATGTTTATGAACTCTGTTTTTGTTTTCAAAGGCAAAAACAAGTTGATTTTGTTTTTAAAAAAACAATACATGTTTTGAAACTAACAAGATATTGATTTTTAAAACAAAATCAAATTTTCTTTCTAGTATAAAAATTATATGATTCATGGAAGATGATGTTGAATAGTCAAATGAAAACATATCTTTAAAACCAGATTCAAAAGCATGTTTTTGGTTTCAGTTTTGAAAACAAAGAAATAATCTGTATTCAAACAAGGAGGTTTTGATTTGTTTTTGGAAACAGCAACAAGAAAAACAACCCACCCCCTAAAAGTGATAATGGATGGCTTAATGGCACATTTTAGACTTTCTGCATGGATGATCACACGTTGGCCGGATATTGTTGAGTTGCTGAAACGAAATAAAACACTCATTTGGCAGCACCAAACAGCAAAACATCTCTCACAGTCGTACTCCCATGCCCCAATAAAATCAATGAACAAGTCCCAAAATGACAAGGCTGAAGAACAACCTGCTAAACCCATCACAGTAGCCAAAACCCTAAAAAACCATTTACTGGATTACTGCACTTTAATTTCTATAAGCAACAAATGGTCCCTTTTGTCACGTCAATGCAAGCGGCAGTACCTAATCTTTCAAGGCAAAACAAAACCTTTTGAGTTTATTACAACGACCTCAGTAATCCGAAGGGGAGATGACATCATCAATCTTGAGAATCATCTTCACAACTTGAGTGGCCAGCAAAATTTGTTGCTGTTTACCAATGAGAGTCTCAAAGACATTCTGCTCACGCATATCATTAGTTCCAACATCATTGCAATCTATTCCACAGCATGGGTTGTTCTCCTGCACAGAACATTCAGTAGCTTCTGAGATTGTTGCTGATAAATAATAAAATAAATGATAAATGACTACATTGTCACATTGGTACTGGAAGAGTATCCAATTGTTATCAACTGAACACCAAACCTTCAAATTGCCTTTACCTTGATTTGTTGAGCTTTGACTGCTGAGAGTGTTTCAATAGGTTGGAGGCCACTGTTTTCTGCCAGTGCCATAGCGATAGAATCTAAAGCATCTGCAAAGGCCCTGACAGCGTACTGTAAAAGAGAAAGCAAGTCAGCTGCAAATATGCATTACTGGAAAATAGGAAAGGGGAAAATATGAACGCATACGTGTACCTGCTCAACCCCAGGATATCTATCAGCAGCTGCCTCTACAGCAATTGAGCAAGAAATCTCAGCTGAACCACCTCCATATACAATAGAATTGTTGCGAATCAAGTTCCTAGCAACACAGAGGGCATCATGGAGGCTCCGTTTTGTCTCTTCTATCATCATTTTGTTACCTAAGCAATCAGCAGACACCAAAACCTTGTCTCAAATCATTTGTAGTTCCAATGAAACCCTTGCTTATAGCCTAAAGTTATCTGATATCCTCACCCCATCCCAACCTCCTCTTTTGGGGACTGGGAGGTTGTGCACGCTACTATATGCATAGAAAAATATATCTGTTGAGTAGTATCAGTGTACCAGCTATTGGATTACATGCAAAAGTTGAACTTTTGATCACATGACATCCTCGGTACTCTGCAGTAGGTCCATTTACCAAATGAAGACCCAGGTGTTTTAGCTTTCAGGGCATACGAATGGAAAACAGTCTGAAGCTAACCCTTGCCCTTGGGAACTGCAATTCAATTTACTCAACATTTTCCTAACTGATTGATACTTGAGTTGACAGCTAATTGATCGAGCTTTATTGGAATGGACTGAACTTTGTAGTCATTGAATTTAATGAATTTGTAGAGATCCAATTGCCAGCATATTGTGACAGCCAAATGAAGGCCCATGGAGGGAAGAATGGTCTTAACTTCCCTCTTCTTTAGACTGCGGCTCCAAATCACTGATGGAATTGAAATCTAAAATTTAGATATTTCCTGGACATGGGCTAAGGGCTAAACGCCTAAACCCCCTGATGTAGACCAGAAACTTATTGTCTCTTCCCAAGCTGTTCCAATGCTAGTCATTGCACCATTGTTTATTAAAAGTAAACAATAATCTAAAATCTAAATGCCACTAAATGTAGCAAAATCACCATACAGGAAATAAGATTCATCAAAAACAAATAAGATGTTCTTCATGTAAAAGGAAAAGAACGATGAGAAAATAAGGAAAATAAAGGACCTACCACCACGAATAAAAATAGTTACAGCCCTTGAATTAGCACATTGCTCAATATAAAGCATCCGATCTTTTGTTGTACCAAATGACTTTTCTCGGACCAAACCAGCCTGAATGGAGACAAAACAAATAAAAAGATCAGTGTTCCTGGTGATAACTACATCACATAAAATTAAAGGAGAGAACTTGATAACCAAGTTGTTTTATAAGGAAATCCACATTCAGATGTCAATCTGAATGCTCAATAGAGCACTGTAGGTCATACTAACTGGCTATAACTTGTTTTCAAACCGTGACATTATGGAAAGTCTCCAAATCAATTAGAAAAAAAAATTGTTACATATGGTCCATATAAAAATATAAAACTAAAAAGAAAACAAAAATTTGCCATTGTAGATGAATGGCATTGTTAGCTTTCTGAAAGACAAAGTATTTCATCTGCAGGTCAAAAATAATATGTAGTTCTATGAAATATGGAATGTCTGCCATATATATACTTTTCCTGACTTTATATAAAAAGAAAACTGTCAAAACTAAGAAATACCAAATGCAGGAATTAACACAAATGCCATTTACACTGAAAAGAAAGAAAATACCTTCCCCAGCTTTTCTGGTGTCAATTCCTGGAATCTTGGCACAATTCTTCCACCTACATCAATAGCCAGGCAATAAGAAAATGACATCATAAATGAAACATAACTAGGGGCGCAAGAGCAGTTTTTATGCGAACCTGTAGCTATTGCAATAAGCTCTAATTCTACACCACCAACCCATCGTACTGCAGGCAAGTTCCGGTGCATCAATAAATGATTTGCTTCATCATCAAACCCCCATTGACAAATAACCAGGGTAGCACCAACATCCTGCAAGATACCAAATTAAAAATAAAAAAATAAATAAAAAAAGATAAGGAACTTGTAAAAAGTCAACAGAAGCTAGTGAAGTTTTTTTAATTCGATCATCAAAATCACAAGGAATTGTCCATGCTCTTGCTCCTATAAAAGGCAACTTAACATTTATAATAAAAGGTCTTCGTATCAGCAACTATAAGTACAACCAATAGTAAGCATGAATAATACATGCAAAAGGGTAACAAGTTCTATAGCTTGTCCTTTCAGTTAAATGTATGAGGGAATTCATTATGAAATTATGGTGTTTCATAAATTTCAAATTAAACCAATACCTTGCATTTTTTAACCATGTCATCAAAGTATTTCTGCTCTTGTTGACGTAAAGTCTGGAACTTCTCCACTGTGTCAATATCAACCTTATGCTTAGTCTTGGGCTTAGGGGGCTCAAATGGGCAAGTCAAAATTGCTATTTTTGCATTTTCAATTCGCTTGGGCATCTGTGGATGGCTCATATCCTTGTCAACAACAATACCATCAATTAGTTCAGTGTCTTCCAACTTCCCCCCTACTTTTCCTTCCACTTTAATCAAATCTAAATTGACATCCTTCCTCTCTATATCTGCAACTGCTAGAACAGCTTTAACAGCAATCTCAGCTAAAGATCGCTTGCATCGGTTTACACTGCAAGATGATGTTAAAAGCTTAATTCACAGTAAGACATATCAAAGGCATCATGTTGGACAAAATACATTTTTGTGGCAAAATAAAAGATTAAATTTTATTAGAAAATAATAAGTAAAGCTCCTCATCCCAAAAATTTTGAATGAAGACATCAGTGTTTTAAAAGCGCAAGGGCCAATTTGCGCCTGAGGCGCAAGGCGAGGCACGCACCTTTTTGAAGCAAGGCGCAAACATACGAAGAAATACTAAAAAATAAAAAATGTCAGAAAATTCAAAAAATGCCAAAAAAAAATAAAAAATGCAAAAAGAAAAACATTAAACATGATGTTAATAAAAAATATATACTTAAATTTTAAAATAAATGTTCTAAAAAACCTATAGTCTAAAATTAAAATACATAAACATAACATGTAAAGGGTATTCAAATGAAATTTTAAAAATAAAAAACAAACATATAAAGCATTTTCAAGCATGTAAAACCCACAATCTCTTTTTTTCCTCAATTGCATTACTTCAAGTAGCTAATGTGATGTAAAACATATTGAATTCTTGATTCTATGAGTCGCCTTTGTACCATGCCCCTTGAAGCAAGCCCGAACAAGTCCATGTTAGGGTCTTAAATTCTTATTTCTCACATAAAAAAAATAATGATCTTATAACTTCAATTGCCTTTTAAGAAGATATTTTATTGGAATGAATGAATGAACAACATTAACAAATAGGGGGTTCTCCCTGGTCCAGCCATTAGGCTCAAAAAAAAAGCAAACAAGCACAGAATTTTAACAAGGCGCATGCCTGGGCTGAGGCGCAAGGTGCATCAGGCATGCACTTTTTGAAAGGGGTGCACCTAGGACCTAGGCAAGGCGCATACCCTAAAATGCACCTCACCTATGCGCCTAGGCACGCCTTTAAATCACTTGCATCACATTGGACAAATTACAGCAAACCAAATGATTGATTCAAAGCAAAATGTTAACATTCATTAATTCCCCACCCAATGTTGAACAAATTACATCGGTATCAGGATTAAGAAAATTGTTCAGCTAAAAAATACCAATATGAAAAGATTCAATCACAGCTATATTTTGCAAATTTCACTGTTCTTGCCCTTATCTTCACTTAAATGATGGGATGAGATCCATCATAAATCTACACATTGCAGGTTTTGTTTCTACTTAACATGTCCAACTGATTGCTATCAAATTCCTTTCTAATGAAGTTACAATTAACAATATAAACCACAAAATCAAAGAGTTTATTATGCAATTATTATGTAATCCTCTCCAGTACAAATCAATCTTATTTAAGAGCCAAAACCCAACCCATTTCAGATGATATTCTAAAAACTACAGAAAGCATAATGGACATGAAATATGCAACTAATGAAAGAACTTCATCAAACCCAGATTAAACAGGAGATTAAATTTAGTATACAGAATGGTACTAGAATAAGGAAAAGGAATAAGACTCAAGATTCTTACATCTTTGAGGATAAAGTAGTCATGCAAGTCTGAACCAGAGGCTCAATGTTGTTAACTCCAAATTCAAACTCCTGAGCAATGCGCTCTAAATGTTCAACAGCTATTCTTGATGCCATTTCATACCCTTCTGCAATCCGGATAGGATGAATACCACGCTCTAATAGTTTCTCGGCCTGCTCTAGAAGTGCACCAGCCATGACGACCACTCCAGTTGTTCCATCACCAATCTCATAGTCTTGACTCCTGGATAATTCAACCATCAGCTTAGCTATTTGATTATCAGCATCCATCTGTTCCAATATTGTTGCACCATCATTTGCTACAACAGAACAAGGGAGTAAGTCAGATCATAAAAGGTTAGAAAACCCTTAAAGAAACATACTAAGAAATTGTTCAAGTTCTTATGCTTCAGTTCACTTGAACAATCTGCTTCTCACTCCACCCAATTCTTGATAACCTCAATCTGAAAACTGCCAGGACAGCCATCACTTAAAACCTTAAGACGATTCAGAAATAAATTCAGTGCGGACCTGGCACACAATATGTTGCAAGTTACCATTTTTTTTCACAATAATGTTTATTAGATGAAAGACCTGATTAATGCCAGGGCATCCATCCTGGAGAAAAAATTTTCAGCTGCATTAAGAACTACATACTGTGCACATAAAAGCAGAACATATTCTGCTTTTGCAGAGGCCAGGGTCATAATTGTTTGAAACTGACTCAGCTGCACATGAATAAACAAATTGAATGATTCTGTTCAGGACAACCTAGCGTGCAAAGATACAACATAAAGGACCAGTTTTTGGTCCCAATGGTCTCCATATTATGATCAATATTCTTCCTGGTTCAGCATGCATCTTCCAAGACAATAGCAAACAAAACATTTCTCAGTTGGAAACAAATGAAGAAAAGGAAACTTAAGTCCAAGGAACTCAAACACCAAAGAAATGATAAAGGCTATGAGGCTAAATATGGTTATTAAGTTGGTGAAGCATCAATAATTAGAGTTTGGCTGATTAGGTTTTATCCTATTAGAAGAAGAGGCGAATATCTTAGGGAGATAAGGCATCTAATTATACACCTCGCCAAAAGGAGACATAAACCCTGTGAATTACTGAATAATTTGTTCACATAAATGGCTTATGCCTTAAAACAGTATCTTCCGTTTAAGTCAAATACGTTCTATAACCAAGAAACCAGCTTGCCAGTTCTATATGTAGGGAACTCAGTTCCAGTCAAATAGGTGAGGAAACCTCAAAAGTGGAAGCAATGTGTCCTATCTCAAAGAAGTTATAGTGAAAACTCCAGCAGCGGTCACATGCACAAAGGGAAGAAAAGGACTTGCTAAAGTAGTTACAAACAAGACGTGTACTACAGGATACGTAACCAAATCAAGAATGCACAACATTATTGCCCCAACCTTCTACATGAACCACATATACGGGCTGACATTAACCAAATGAAAGTGGATATACACCATTAACTAAGTCGTGAGGTCAACTCCAGTAAACAAAAATCCCAGAATTAACTCTTCCGAATACAGATTTGGAAGAAAACCTATATCACACATGGAAAATGATAAAATAGCATCACATTCACACAGCTCTGCATCGTTGTCCATAGAACTGAGCATTACAGCAATTCGACAGCCAAAGCAAAACTTCAAAAGTTTAAAAACAAAAAGAACTTTCGGCTCCTGTTTAAAAATAATCCAGATGCCATATCTTCAAATTCCATACCTTAATCAATCGATATTAACACAAAAAGGGAAAATGCAGAACCAATCCAAACTGAGTGGCATGACGAATGCCCTAATATATCGGGACTAACAAAGCATTAATTAAACAAGCATGAGAACTTAAGAAGTAGAAGTTATTTAATCAGTTGCAGGGTATGGGAAACAGAAAGAATTGTCGAACTCACTGATGGTGACATCGCCGTCGGGGCTCTGGAGCATCTTGTCCATGCCCTTGGGGCCAAGTGATGTGCGGAGGATGCGGGCAACGGCCTTTCCCGCGGAAATGTTGGCCTTCTGAGCATCCAAACCTCTCAGCCGGCTCTTCTGCTCTTGTTCCTTGATTATGATGAACGGCCGGCCGAACTCATCGAAGGCTAAAGCCATTTTCTTCTTTAACTAAAGAAGAGTGACAGACCAGCAAAGCAAAGCAGAGAAACAAAAAGGAAAACCAGAAGAGATAGATCGCTTGAGAAGTCGAATGGAAAGTGAGGAAGAACCGCTAGAGGAAGGTTCTGGAACCTTTGAGGGGGGAAATGTTCAAAGGGTTAGTGTGCCGAATCGGACTGTGCTAGCGAGCCCTAACTAGTAACTAGTCTAGAATCTAGATGCCCCTAACCCGCTCAAACCACTTGGTCCACGCCATGGTCTGTCAATCAGATAGGGCCGTGGAGGACAGGGGACAAGTCGGCTCGGGTTGATGTCAACCCTAATCCAACTTGAGTTGTTCAACCCCCAACTCGATTCATTCTGGACTGTCTAGTCCAAGTTCTTCATTTGTTTTTTTTTTTTTGTTTTTTTCTTGGGTGAGGGCTTAAAAGGAAAAAAATGTCTTATCCCTGAACTTTCATAAAACTGTCTAATAGGATGGCAATTTTCCCTATTTGTAACGGGAAATGACTTCCCCGACCTTATTAATAGGAATTCCCGACCTTATTAATGGGATTGAGGTCACTGCCTCACACCGACTTTAATTATATATATATATATATATATATATATATATATATATATATATATATATATATATATTATATATATTAAATGTATATAATTTAAAATTTTTATTTATTTTTCAAATAAATATTATTATCTAAAAAAATTTCGGAGATTCAGGTCCCCATTGAAAATCAAGGATATAGGACATATTTTATCCCGGCGGGAATCAGAAACAGAGATGGGGATTAATTTCAGAATTAGGGGAGGGAATGGGGAATATGATCCCCGCCCCGAACCTGCCCCATTGCCATTCCTACCGTGTAATAAGTTCCTATCTATTAACTAACATTAATAAAAGAGTGAAATAAATGTATGTTTCATATAATTTTCTTTATCTATCACTTCTACATAAACCAATTTAAACAAAACTCGTGAAAAGATGGAAATCGGAAATCGAAAATCGGCCGAACACCGAGAAAAACAATTAATGCCGAGTATAATTCAAAACCACTATGGCCACCGGAATTCCTTCCTCTCCTCCTCCGTCTAAGGCTCCCCCAAAATCTCCTCCCTTTCTTATGTGGTGGCGGCAACCGAAATGAGTCAAACTCAGGCAGCTGCTTCTTGCTTAGAGGAAGCAGCTTTCTACTAGTCCAAGGTTGAGGATTTGTGCTTGGCCCGTCCAAAACGACACAAATGGTGGCTCACGCAGCGCTAAGGGCTTCACATTTGGCGCCTCTAGAGTTGCCACATATTGAGTAAATTTGTGTGCACGAAAATGTTAACAAATAACCCATTTGACAAAAGTCTCCCATGTAGTTGTTCCCCTGGTCTTAATAAGGAAGGAAGGTGTTCCCCTACTCTCAATAAGGAAGGTCTCGCACAGGCATTGAGAAGGAATAGGTAGGTGAAAGCATCAGGTTTAGTTTCGTCGATTCCATCTTATTGTATAATTGTAGAGCTTTACAGACTCGTGCGGCGCTGTGCTACAAGCATAGCCTTTGATCATCTGGATCTGGTTCCATACACTGGTACTCGGGTTCTTAAATTGTTTAAAAGCTTTCTAGGCATGGACGAGGTTCCCATAAGTGACACAGAAAGATAATAGCTTGGCAAGGATATAGTTCTTATGGGAAAAGCCATTTACTACTATCTGAGCATGAATTTGAGTGAGTTCATTATTGATTTTGCATTTCTGCATCAGAGAACACAAAGATTGTTGTAAAGCTCTAGAATTTGGTAAGATGGGCATATTCACCTCAGCCAAGAACACAAGTCAGCAGCCAAAGTTTCCAGGCCTGAATTCTGATGAATTGCTTTCACCTCAGCCAATAATTCAAACAGTGCATTTGGAAATCTATACGAAACTCCATATATTTTCCCTAGTGGTGGCACCAGTTTCAGCCTCCAGAGGAACCATAGTTAGAAACCTTTGATACTTGACAGAACGCCAGGTGCAAGGTTGTCATTCCCCACCAAATCAATTGTGGAGATCGTTGTTCTCTCAAGTAAAACAAAAACAAAGCAACTGAAAATCTCTTTTCATAGAAAATTGTAGCAACAACTGGTTCAATTTCAAGGTAGAAGACAATGAATAATGCACTTCTAAAAAATGTAGTTTTGACATTTTAAATGTTTTAAGTGGCACATGTCATCATGTGATTACAGATAACTATTAATGGCAGGACCTATTAGAGAGTTTTTGGAAGTTCAGAATACTATAGTGGTACATTTTGAAGTTTCAGGGACTGACTTGAGACAATCCCTAAAGTTCAGGGTACTGTTCAAGAGTTTTCCCTAAAAAATATCGCCTCTAATCCTAACAGGGGCGCTCTTCACACAAACGGCACACCATGTCCTGGCCATACATCTGAAGCATCTCTCATACTTGTATTTATTAGGGTAAATTTCTTAAACTACCCTTATGATTTAGCTAATTGATTAAGTGTACCCTTACTATTTGAAAATTGACTAACATTACCCTTACTGTTTTTAACAATTGACTAATTCTACCCTTATCATTAACATCCGTTAATATTCCATTAAAATTTGTACGCACATGATATCACGTGATGTTTAAAAATTTTTAAAACCCAAAGTTACCCTTGTCTCCTTCCTTTCGACCCGACACACCCTTCATCCTCTGATCTCTCTCTCTTCCCTCTATCTTCCTCCCACAGTCTCTGTCAACGCCATATCACCCAAGAAAACTACACTATACCCGCACCGTATGCACTGGACAAAGTCACAGTCTCAGACATTAAACATTGGCTTTCTCCTGTGTATTGAGATGCCGCATACTTGCAATCACTTTGAACATGGGATGAGAAAAACGAATCCCAACAACCAAAGCCGTCTCCACCACCAAAGCTTCCATCAGAGAGCAAACCATCCTCTGCACAACTACAACCTCAGAGCAAAAACTCTCCATCTCCATTGCACCAGACACCTATTCTTACAAGTACAAAGAAATACACAGAGAGAAGAGAAAATAAGAAAGTGAAACAAAACACCAAGAACCAAAAAGATAAATAATTGAGAGGAGGGGTGAGAGAGAACGCTAAGAGAAGAAGGCAGAGAGAAGTCTGGGAGATTCCATGGGAGCAAGAGAGGAAGAGAGAGTAGGCGATATTACACGATGTGTAAAAACAAATAGTGGGGGTGCTCAGAGAAGTAGAGAACGAGTGAGGCAATGGCGGTAGCAACCGAAGTGGTATGAGTGAACTAAGGCGACGGCAACAGAAGTTCGATCTTTTTCTCTCTCTCTCTTCTTCTTTTGGGCGACGGCGGCAGAAGCCCAATCTTTCTCTCTCTCTTCTTCCTCTGGGCGGCGGCAACCCCTCAGAAGTCTTTCTATCTCTCTTCTTCCTCTAGGCAACGGCGGCGGAAACCCCTCTAAAGTCCGATCTTTCTTTCTCTCTCTTCTTTCTCTAAGCGACGGCGGCGGCAACTCCTCTGAAGTCCGATTTCTCTCTTTCTCTCTTCTTCCTCTAGGCGACAACGACAACCCCTCTGAAGATTGATCTCTCTTCTCTTCCTTCTTCCTATGGGTGACGACGGCAGCATTCGCCTCTGGGCGATGGTAGCAGTACTGCCATGTAACTCCACCTAGCGGCGAGAGTTACAGGGTTGTCTTAGAGCTCTATTTTTTAAGTGGTAGGGTAGTTTAGGCATTTTCATGGGTTTTGACGGAAGTTAACTGTAAGAATAGAGTTAGTCAATTGTGAGAAACAATAGGGGTAACCTCAGTCAATTTTGAAACGATAAAGATATAGTTAGTCAATTAGTTAAACCATAAGGGTAGTTTAAAAATTTTATTCTATTTATTATTCACGAGAGATGTTTCCAATATACTGGGTGGGATGTGACTGTGAGATCGGTGTGAGGAGCATATCCCAATTATCGCATCAACACCCCATACAATCAAACACCGACATGTGACATCCCACACGAACTCCCCCCTTAACGCATGCATAGTTAAGAGAGCGGACGTTAGCTCGGCTTGTTAGCTCCAAAATTCACCCAGAAACGAAGGGGAGGTTACTTACCATTAAACAACTGTTGTTTTATATTTTCCCCAACATTAAACAACTGTTGCTACTCCTTTTTCTTCTCCAGTTCGGCGAATAAAACAAAAGGAGATGACGAACTTATTCAAGGCAACGGAGATACGATATTTGTGTCATGACCATCCTATTGGGCCTCATTATCTTTCTTTGTGGTACTAGATGTTATTGATTCAAGAATCTCGTGGTGAGCCATTGATACAAAAGCCAAAGGCCATTTGTCGCCGCCTAGAGGAAGAGACATGGATTTTTCGTCAGACCCGTCACTCCTGTATGTCATTTGATGACAACGTAAACGATGAGCAGAAGACGGAAGACGAAACCTCAATGTCACCGATGGTCGCCGGTGATTGCCAATGGTCGTGACTAACCTCCCCTTGTCTGTTTTGTATTAAAAAATAATAATAATAATATCTAACACGTATAATGGATGTGTGGAAGAGATGAAATGAAAGATACAGAATACCTCTGGACAGTGTGACTGCCGGAACGATCAGGGTACACAAGAGTAGAGTTGAGAGGAATGGAGGGATTTTGGCTTTTGGGTGATTTTTGAAGCTAATAGGGCAAGTGCGGAGCTCGTACAGGAGGACACATGTCAACATTTGATTGTGTGGGCACCTACAGGGGCACTGATGAGAACTCCTAAATCCTAACTATGTTCGTTTTGAGACCGAATCTGTTCTTCACACAGTACACCTCACATGCACATCGTACTGCATTGGGAACATTTTCCTTACTTATAAGTTATTATTCACGAGAGATGTTCTCAATACACGGTGGATGTGCATGTGAGGCGCTCCTGTGTGAGGAGCAGATCCTGTTCCATTTATTTCATAGTTTGGCTGCATCGAGCATTCCTAAGGATTTATCTCCTTTTTTGCAAGTAAAAATTTGTTTATGAAAATATCTTAATTGCTAAAAAGAGATAAATCCATAAAATAAGAAATGTGAAATGCAGTCTTAATCTGTTTAACTATCATACGAAAAATTATGAAAGCTATGTAATTATTAGATTGAGATTTTGTCATTTTAAGCACGTTCAGGCTCTCAGTTTGGAAGGAGTACAGATATAAATATATATAAAATATAAGGTTTTGCATTCTACACATATGTATTTATACTCCTTCCAAACTGAGCCTTAGTYACTTCTAGAAGTTGGGCCAATTAGTCACCAATTGTCAAGAAGCCTCAAACATTAGAATTTAGAGATTATATTGGAGCCCAACAGCACCTCCCACCTGTGTATAGGGGAATCGGGATTTGCTCCTCACAGAGCGCGTCTCACACTGGCCTCAGCCACATCCCACCCCTGTATTGGAAGCATCTCTCCATGAATAATAAATACAAGAGATGTTATGTTTCCGATGTGTGATCAGAACATGCTGAAGTTGGTGTGAGGCACGCTCTATGAAGAACAGATCTGGACTCTGCATAGAGAACATCTCCTCGTGATAAGTAAGAAGATGTTCACAATGCATGCTGAGATGTACAGGTGGGGCACTTGTGGGGTGTTCTTTGGAGCGCCATTTTTTTGCTTCAACATCAATATCTTGTCTGCATTATGGAAAATGTGTTGAAGTTGATGATAGTGGAGCTAGTTCATAATCTTCTCCAAGTCGCATTTAACTGGAGTCAAAAGTCAATTATGAGCTGGAACTGGGGTTTCTTGGAGTTTTGGACGTCCAAGTATGGGGTTGGTTAGTTTTTTTCTCGAATTCACATCTCACTGGGCGTGCCCCAAAGCACATCTCAATTATGTATTAGGAACATCTTTCAATGATGAATATGAAAGATGTCGCACTCTGTGGGGCACAGAAGTGGTCTTTTTTCTCTTGGGTCGAGTAGAAATCTGAAGGGATATGTCCATTGGAGGTAGATGCAAAAGCAAATTGCTTGACTTGCAGGAACTGCTAGAATGAGATGCTAATGTGTGTATCTACCTACTAAAGCAATGAACGTGAGAATATAGAATGCTAATGTGTGTATAATGACATGGATATTGATATGAGAAATGGGATATGACTCTTCTATCCTCAAATCTAGGACATGTACATGAGATGAGCTTTTATTTGTTGACTATGCTAGTATGATACTTGTATTTTCTTGAGCTCGTTTTGTTTATGTACAACATACTAAAATTAAAATCCTTAATATCTACAAAATTTTACTGCAAAGTCATGATACAGTGTGCCATTTATTCATTTCTTTTGGAAAAAACAAATATGAATATTGTTGGGAATTAAAGAGAATTAGAGAATGGCCAAATGATACAAGGATTGCAAGGGATGCATCCAATGCATGCCTCTGATTCTGTTGCCTTTCAGTGGGAATCCATTAGTAATGTACAAAATATTGGTCATGTCTCTTCCTTTCCCTAAATTAGAACCAGATCTGACTTGGATACAACACGTGGGATTAAAATATGATCAACAAGAACAAATGGTTGGAACTTGGAAATGGCTCCAAACTCGGTTAAAAGTATCCATACTCCCAAATTCGTATTATTTCACATATCACCACCTACTCTGATAATTAATACACTAGTGAATGACCCAGTATCAACTACGGGGGAATCAGTAATGTTAAATTTATATTATTGAATCAATACTGTTAAATTTATATTTATTAATATTTTAAATATTTATTAAAATTTTAAAAAATATTTATTTCAAAAAATAGTTTTTCGATAATTCTTAAAATATGAATAATTTTCTTTTGTTATGATAAATAAAGGGTTAATGATTAAATGAGATTGATAAAATGTAAACAGAAATATTTGTAAATAACCACTTTTGCATTTTCTTCATTTTTTAGGAATGGATTGAAAATGGTTGTAGTGGGTTGTGAGATTTAACATCAACTTCTTAAAAAATGCCACGTGTCTGGCTTTTCAAAAAAATAAGGCCTTGTATCTAAATAATAAAGAGCTGTGTAGCACGGTGGTTGGTTGTGGACTTTAACAAGAATTTCTCAAAAATTGCCATGTGTCTAACTTTCTAAAAAATGAGAATGTCACATAATGGGTTGTGGGCTTTAACAACACCTTCTCCAAATATGCAATGTTTTTAAAACCGAACTTGACCAGACAGTTGGACCAAAAAAACTAAGAATCAATCAATCATCTGATGGTCTGACCGATTCCATTTTACCCCAAACCACTATTTGGCCAAAACTATTGATTTGGTCAGCGAACCACTGACCCAAGCGATCAAACTGTCAAATCATTTGATTCAAGAACGGTTTTTGTCTGTTTTTGTGTTTCTAATTTTTATTTTTATTTTTTTGTCAGAAAAAGCCATCCGTTTGGACCATTCGACCCGGGAACTGGACCCAAAACAGTTCCCTGTTTGATCCAGTTTTAAAAACCTTGATACGTTGGACCTTGTATTGTATATAACTATATAAGCACTTTATGTTCTAAGGATTGTGAAAACGCCGATAAAAGTAAATCACCTTTTTATTTGAGAAAAAAATAAATCACTAAGACTCCATTTTGTTGGCAATGCAAATTTCTGCTTCTGGTTTGACTTTGTTTTATTTGGTTAAGAGTAACAAAATAGACAGTAGAATAAAGATAGGATCATAGGATTAGGAGGAAGATGGTGCGAATTTTTGGGTGAGTGAAGATTTGACAAAAAAGCAGGTTTTGCATCACGTAGAGCATGCAGTTCATGGTCACAGTTGCAAAGAATACAAACCTGAACGAATGTGAAATTTATATCTGATTCAGATGATATGCACTGCAGACAAACAGAACCTAAGAAAGTCATCCTCGTATAAAATGATGCATGGCTTAATGGAAGCAACTCTCCAATATCATCTTTGGAAACCCACAGCTTTCTGACCAAATTTAGATTTCAATTTTCTACCTCTAAATATGTCCTAATGGGAAATATTCGACAAGTCTGTTTTAAAAGCTTTGTTTTTGTCAAGAAATATACTTGTAGCAATTCTTCTTCCTCCCCTTCATCTTCTACTTGTAATTAACAGATGCCAACCATGGAGTTAAAACTCAGAAGGGTGTTGTATCGACTTGATATCGAGGGGCTTCGAAGTCTGCAGAGAAACCTGTAAATGTTTTGTTTTTATTACTTTCAAGAAAAAAGTTTTTTTTTCCAAAATGCTCACTCAAAAAATTAAAAAAAAAAATGGTTCTGACTAAGCTGAATACTAAAAAAAGACCATTCAGCCTAGTTTGTGACTCGTTAATACAAATGCCTCCACCGAAGTTACTGCTAGTGCTGCTGGGCGCACAAGCGGTAGCCTTCCATGGGCTGCAAAAACAAGGTCCTACCTAGTGTCCTAAGAAAAGAATACAACTGCTATGATAATGCTGCCGAACTCATTGGCGTACAGACGAGACTAGCTTCTATTATCATACAGCAGCTACTGTTGTGTCATTTCTCCTAATGCAATTGAACAAACTACACATGGAAACATGACACCAGATTCGTACCAGGGCCCACATTGGCGGCAGAGGTGAATAACAAGTCCACTTCATCAAACACCTGCCCTTGGGGATGGCTCCAAAAGAAGTGAATGGCAAAGATAGAGTGTATCCCTTTTTTAATACATTCCCTTGAAAACAGGATTCGTGCGACATATGCTCGCTCCATACTCCTCATATTCCGCTTTTGTATGGCACGCCTGTGCATGGTGCACACAACACTCGTTAGCTTTGCTGCCAAGATTCAAACAGTTTCATAAAAGTACTCGACATAAATGACAAGGATGATGAGAAAAAAAAAAAACAAAAATAGACCATCAGAAACAAATGAGAGCGACCAGCAAAAACCATGGTGGCAATAATCTTCACTTCCTGATTTATGCATTTGGATTTTTTTATCAATAACTGCAAGCTTTCATTAAATTAAGAAGATGGTATAGTACAATGAGTAAAAATAGAAGGTAAAGTCAATGAGAGATAAAATCTCTCCTCTCTCCCCAAAACAAAAACCCTCTTTTACAATTGTGCCCAGAAAAGAGCTCGTCCCACCCCTTGTTTGGCTAATGTATCTGCAAAGGAATTAGCACTGCGCTTACACCGACAGAAGGATACTTCCATGTTTCTTATTAACCACTTGAATTTTTTCTTCTCATTATTGTAAATCCACACCTTCATTTCCTCAACTTTATAGCCAATTTACAACCAATTCTGAGTCCCCTTCCATGATTGACTTCCTTGTGTTCAAGGTCCTTGCCCTTTGCACTCCATCCAACATTGCCAAAACCACCACTATAAAAGTCTCCCTCCCCTGCCCTTCCTCATATAAGGCAATTATTTTTCCCTCTCCATCCCTAAGTACACCTCAAATTCCTGATAGTCCTAAGTTTCCCATGCTACTACCATCAAAGTTGAGTTTGACGAACCCTGTTTTTGGTGGAGACAAAGTTTGAATAGTAGCAGTCTTATTTGGTGCAGAAACCACTACCAACTCTTAACATGTATGTATAAACCCTAAATATTCTCTGTATCAAAGAGAGAAGACAACCAAAAAAGAGGGGTGATCGAACTCAATTCAACTAAGCCTTGTCCAAACCATATGGGGTTGGCTACATGAATCTTGCTCCACCACTCCACTCTATTCAACCATGTCCGTTTCTCCACCCCTATCTTTTCTAAACCTTTTTGACTTGTAGCAGATCACTTATCACTGGTGCTGCAGATGGTCTTTGCTTTTCCCTTTATTAGAAATTGGATTTGGTCCTCACAAAACCATCCTCACAGGCCCTTGCAGCCGTCCATTGGGAATATATTCCCATGAATAAAAACATACAAATATGGAGATGTTCCCAATGTACAGATGCAAAGGGTGTGAGGACCGTGAGGATCACCTATTGGACTATTTCTAGGTTCGTTCCAATAAGTTTATTTCTCATCCTGTCCTTCTAGTTTTCCCACTCATCCATCTTAACTACCCTATACTCAACTACATACAGTATTAGTGGCATTATAACCATTTTATGATATTTTTTTGATAAGTGCAGTTTTATGATATTTTCCTATCAAACCAAGTGACATTCTCCTATTACATAGGACTCTAAATGCACCCTTCCATTTTGCCTATCATGTTCTAATTCTATGGGTAACAACCTCTTCAATCTCTCCCAATGAATTAAAAGGTGCACCTAGGTGCACAGGCAATGCGCATTTCAAGGCCTTTACCTCACCTGGGTCCAAGTGTAGCCCCTTTGAAAAGGAGTGCACCTAGTACGCCTTGCACCTTAGCCCAAGCATGTGCCTAATGTTCTTCGTTCATCCTTGTTAATACAAGACGTATTTTTAAAAGACAAGAAACTATAATTAAAATTATAAAACCATTCTTTTTACATACAGCTTAAGAATTTAAGACCCTAACATGGACTTGTTTGGGCTAACTAGATTTCAAAGTTTTATTTCAGTAAAAATATTCATTTGTCAAAACCACTGTGCATGTAAATCTCATACATGCAACGAATGACCTACTAACCTTGAAAATACATTATCTTGCTATAATAAGTCACGCTGCTGCAGACTGTTTATCATCATGGTCATCAAGATTCAGAGCTTGCAGCAGCTTTGGCCAGGATTCTGGAATCCCTCCTGGTAGATCAAACTCCAACAACTTTCCTCAGCTGCGGTAGAACTCCCCCACAGGCTGGCTCATTTCATTGTATACATGGAATCGCTCTTTTACAACTTCTTCTGTATCAGCAGATCGAGTGATGAGCTTCGATGCACACCTTCAATGTGGAAGAAGTGGAGCCATGTACATCCCAGGGCTCCCATTCTCACCCTTGATGTTGGTGGAGGCAACATTGAAGTTTCCTCCATAATGGCTGCAAATCCTTCTTCCTAGGCATTTCTCAAGCAATACATCTTCACGAAGATTTAGGTTAATCACCAAGTCAATATCAGTCACTTCTTCCAATATCTCTGTTTGTCTTATTGTTCTTGGAAAACCATCAAGAATAAATCCTGATTCACCCCTTGCTTCTCCAGCTTCAAGCCTTTGAGACAATAATCTTATTATAATTTCGCCAGACACCAACTTGCCTTGGTTTACAATCTCTGCAAGCTGTTGGGAGAGAGGACTGGAGGAAGATAGCTCCTCTCGAACGAGATCCCCGGTGGCAATGTGAGGGACACCAAGAAGGTTGGAGATGTGACTGGCGTAGGTACACTTTCCGACGCCGGGGCAGCCGAGGAAGACCCACTGAACGTTTTTGTCTTGAGGATCTCGACGGCAAGAGAGGGGCTTGTGAGGGAGAGAAGAAGGAACACAGAGATAGGTTTTATATGTTTATGTATTTTAATTTGAGCTAATAGGCCTTTTAAAATGTTTAGTTTAAAATGTAAGTTTGCATTTTTAATTAATATACTAGTTTTATTTTTTATTTATTTCAAACTTTTTGATTTTTTTTTTATTTTTAAAAAAATTGCACCTTGCTTCAAAAAGGTGTATGCCTCAGGCGTGAACCCCCCCCCCCCCCCCTTGCACTTTTAAAACAGTGATCTCGCCCTTGTTATGAATAATCTAACCAAGGTAAAGAAAGTATCCAATTGTAAATGTACTGCAATTCCCACTTCTACTGTTATTAAATATATATTGCACATATTTTGTTTTAGTGCTACTGATTTTAAAATTTCTTATTTCTAAGACATTTGTCTATAAATCCAATTTTGCATTTGTATACCCAAAAAATCCATTTTTTCATCTAACCTCTCTATTGTTTCATCAATTACTACTATGTCATCAGCAAACAAGGTACACCATGGGACCTCCTCTTGGATGTGTTTAGTCAATTATCCATGACTGATGCAAACAAATAAGGGCCAAGGGCTGAGCCAATTCATCCATGACGATGTATTTTAAAATTTCTTATAATTAGGATTCAGGGCACATAATGCAGACCCAGACCCCATATAATTGGGTCAGGATGCATCAGATTCTGGTTCTCATGCCCATATCCATGCCAAACTGACTTTAGCCTTTTAGGAAAGTATGTGTTTGGTTTCTTGACACATTGGACTGTCTTGAGTCCAATTTTGAGTATGAAGTGCCTTTGGCTGTTGCTGGTGCAGCAGTTTACTTGATTATGGAGTCCTAATGCCCGTTTCTTCTTTTCTGTCCTTTTCTTCTACTGGTTGCTTTAGTGATTAAATATACTTGAGTTACCTAAAAAAAGAATTAAACGGAACAAGCATACTGCATGATGGAATCATTAAATGTGGAAACTGAAAGATGAATTTACATGGGCTTAGAGTTAGAAGGGGAAAACATACAGCATAAAATTCAGGTGTTGATGCAAGTACGGAGCCTCCAAACCATACTGCAAACCGCTGGATTGGATGGCTGACAACATTCACTTCAACTGGTTGTGCCTGGGGGTTTGGGAAAAAAGTATCAACTGTCAGGCATTTCTGCTAATAAGAAAGCAAAAAGCTTTTTAAGAAAAAAATGCGCACTTTTACTTCTCCACCAAGACGGGCATCAGATGCAATGACCCGAGCATCAACAATCTTCTTTAGATCTCGTTGCAATCTTCTATGGAAGTCCTTGAACATGGTCGAACCCCCAGATAACACTATGTTCTGAGACAAATGATTGCAAAATCACAAAACTGTTAATATATATGCTCTTTTCTTTTTCATTGTTTCTTAACAGTGAACAGAGACATGAATACAGAAACTGGAGACTAACGTGCATTATGCATAAAGAAAAAAGAATAAAACTAAGAACATTGACAAATACAGGAAGCTATTTTCATAATACTTAAGGCATAAAGATAACGACCCACATAATATAAGACACCTACATTGGTTCCCAGAAAAACACTTATGGCCTATCTACCTCATCCTAGATTCCTAGGCAGCAGAAAAATACATAAATAATTAAGGAGCAATAAGTATATCAGATAATTATTAGCATTAGACAACGTTCATTCTTGACCTAGGAAACATCCATGGAGGCACCACTTATAGATGTCAGCTTTGGTGTGAGTAAATGTGGGCTTTTAAGGAAATAAAGATGCAATTACATTTTATGAAAAGACATTGCACAAGAGAAGAATTACTAGCTGTCTTACATGCAACTACATTTTCAGTCATAGCATCAAGAATAGAGGCTGCCCATTTAAAAAGGTATCTACTTTGGAGATGGTACTGCTCTGCATATTTCAATTGGGCCTTCCAATGACAGTCTGTCACCTTATATAGTTCGATTTTATGACCTTGTATCCATTAGGTGCACAATGAGGTGCAATATACAAATATACTCCATGAAGATACCATATGATATCATATATACGTACACAACTACATATACAATCTATTGTATCATACATACAGGATGTATATATAGGTCAGGCCAGGCACAGGTTGACTTAATCTGGGCTCAGACTACCCAAGGCCTAAAAGCTCAAACCCAAATGCCCAACCAACCAAGAAAAAAAACCCAAAATTCTGGAACAGACAGAGCTTATGAAAAAAAAAAAAAAGTTGAGCCTGCCCAAGTTGTGGCCCTACATAGAATGTGGGTTTCCCACACACACAATTATTGGCAATCCAAAATGGGTAAAGATGTTTCACCAAAGCAAAAGGAATGAGATTTTCCAATTTTGTTCATTAAAGAACCAAGAAACTCAAGAGCTGTTCTTTGTTGCCAAAAGGTGCAATATACAGTGGGATATAGGGCTTATGTGGGCAAGGATATAAAAAATGACTAAGCCTAAAGGTTCCTTGTAAAAGATTGGTCAGTGAGGATATGCAAAATAGGCCCTCCACACAGTGTTTTCAACCTGCCGTTGACCCAGCCAATTGAACCGCTTGAACCGTCACCTGGTTAAGATTCTGGGTCTGGTTTGAGTAAAACCTGGAGAGGGTCAAGAAACCGTTGACTAGGTCAAAAACCATCTGACCCGGATGGTTGGACCGTTGGACTATTCAACCCGGTGACCAGGTTGCAGGTTGCATACTGTGAATGCAAACTTCAGGAGGCCATAACTTTGCACTCCGATGCCCGATTGAGGTGATTTTTTTTCATTGTGTAACTTTTCGAGATCTATGTGTCCCAAGGCACCGTAGGTGCTTGCCCCATTATTTTTTCAAAAAATAACCTTTTTTGGCCTCAAATTGCAATTTTTTTCTTTACAAATAAAAAATTTGTAACTGAATTAAAAAACATATATTAAATATAAAATATTTCATATATTACATGTAAAACATAATTATACATTATTTGTTGATAAAATACATGTTTATACATACCTATACACACATATATACATGTACACACATACATATATAAATTTCCAATTTTCCATATGGCTGACATGGCACAGTCTGACCCATCCAACCTGGTCAGTCGAACCAGTGACCTGCGACCCGGAGGCAAAAACAGTTCAGCCTTCGGGCTGGCTTTTAAAACACCGCCTCCACAAACGTATAGGAAAAAATTTTCCTGATCGGATCAAGTAGGGAAGCCTCCATACAATCTGACCCATTTTATCCATGTGGAAACATCATGTGGGAAATCAGACCTATCCATTGGGTAGAATACCATCGGACTGACCAAAGTCTTTATTCCCCCAGTCAACATCAGCCCCACATGCTACCTTTAAGCAGAGTTTCCAAGTTATAACTGTCACACAAAATTCAGATCTTTTTAAATTAAAAAGCAGTCCATAAAGAAAAGCTTATTTAGCATGTGGCATAAATTTTGTCTCACGAACAAGGGCTGGAGAAGGGGAAATAGGCATTTTTTGCATACCAAGAGAATGTGCCACATGGAAGATTCCTAGGTTGTTTAGAATCCTTCACCAAAGTAGTTGCCATGCTGAAAGCATTTCATTTTAGGCATGCTTTATTTGCCAGGAATAAACTGACTTTCTGACACCAAGACCTGAAGTGCTTCACAAAGCCCACAATGGAAATCTTCCATGCTTACAAATATAATTCAGTTCCTTGTACAATAAAATGTCATCCCAAGTATAACTCCTTTACCTTATAAAGAGCCCTTCTAGTGTCAATTGGTGCTGACTGAATGCACTTATCTATTACAGCAGGCAAGGGGGTAGTAAAGTCACTGCTGTAAATCTCAGGATTAAAGAAAATCTGCATGGACAATTAAATTATGATTATCAGAATAAGCCCATACCAGAGAAGCCAACCAAAAATGAAAACAGAAGTATATGGTATACAATTATGGTAACTCAGTCCATTGCAGCTAGGAAATAAGTGCAATGAAATTAACAAATTCCACTATTTTATTTATAAATAAATAATTTTATAAAGGTAGGCTTAGCTGCAATCCAAACACCTTAAGGGCATCATTTTAGGTGTCAAGAGGGGATCAAGTCCAAAGACAGGCTGTAAACTGGCTTCAAATGATTGATGGGGGATTTGTTGAGGTTGAAGAGGCCAAGAAGCTTGCTAAACATGATGGAGATTCTAGTTCATTGTATGCACAAGTGGTGGATTCTGGGTTATGTATATGTGGCCCATTCCTTAATATGCAACTTGGATTCACCATTCACATTAGAAGTTGGGGACTTCGTGCCAGAGGCATCAGTGTCTACTTGTTCTGACAGCAGGAAGAGGAGGTGGAGGTTGAGCTTGATTGGGAGGAATTGGGCATGGAAGACAATGTGAAAGATGGAATGGATGTAGTTCAAGGTCATTGGAGAGGAAGGTTGGCGGTGGTGATGTCTAGACAGTGGAAGATCAATCAGTTTACTCTCTGCTGGAATCAAGCTCTCATTTTGAAAGGGCAAAACATAGATCCTACAGCACTTACCAGATGGTGGAGAGAGAAGATGAGGGGTGAGGGAGACCAACAGGGAAGCTAATAAGGAGGTGAATTGAAGGGGGAGTTGAGCAGAACTTAGCACTAATACCAAACTGACACAGGATGGGCCTGCAAAGTTAGAAAAAGAGAAAAAAAGGACAAATGAATTAACTAGGCTTCTTTACGAGTCAGCACTCAGCACCTAACAGTTTCTTTAAGGAATCAGCAATGTCATAAAAATTAGTATATTTCAATGTTGGAAGTACAAAATTCACATTTATTACCCGATGTTGAAAGGAGGGGACTTTACATATTATTATAGCCAAAAAGGGAGGACAGGCCAGTTCCTTTCATTTACACTACTTCATAACCAACTAAGAAAAGCTACTAAAACACTAACTGAGAACAAGACAAATCCCTGTTGAGTTAGTACTAGGAATAACTCTTTCGCTATAAAGCCCTTAATATATTTTCTATTTTACAAAGTTGTTTTTTCTTATTTAGGTAGAAGTGTAAAACCAAATTTTCATTGGGGTTATTCTTGTCTGTGTACATTATTTTTCTTTGCTTTTCTTATTTTAAAAATGATTTTTGGAACTTTTTATGACCCAAAAAAACCCTATCTTAATACCCGCTCATTGTAATAAAGGGTGTTTTTAACCTTTTAAATGAAAACCCTAATTTCAATCAAACTGCAATGCCATCTGCCAACTCAGAATTGGAAGACCAACAACAAACAAGAGTTTCAAATTTTACAAATTCAAAAGGAACTGACTCTTTCATATACAAATTTAATTTCAAAAATGTATTTCTACAGGAAAAAAAATGAAAGGAGGAGGCTACAGAAAAGTTGCTTTTTTGGTTGGTATATGTGTACAACCCACCATACCATGGTCTTTGCAACAGACCATACCTTTGACCTTGATGTTTGTTGTTGTGTTAAATCCGTGTTTTAAAAGTGCAAGGGCAATTTTGCACCCAAGGTGCAAGGCAGGCAAGGCACAAGCCTTTTTTTTCAAAAAAAAAATGCAAAATACTAAAAATATTAAACACAATACTAATTAAAAATATAAACTTAAATTTTAAAATACATGTTTTAAAAAACCTATTATCTCAAATTAATATACTGAAACATATTTAAAATGAAAATTTAAAAATAAAATCAAGCATAACATATAAAACATATTCAAGCATGTAAACTCTTAATCTCTTTATTTTTTCCCAATTACATTACTTCAAATGGCTAATGTGATGCTAAACATTATGCATTCCTGATTCTATGAGCCACCTTTGTATCAAGCCTTCAAGACAAGCCCAAACAAGTCCATATCAGGGTCTTAAATTCTTAATCCCTATAAAAAAAATTATAACTTTTAAGTGTCTTTTAAAAATATCTTTTATTAGGGCGAATGAATGAGCAACATTAGCAAACATGAGGTTGTTAGAGCTTCGCCCCGACCCAACCGCCAAGCATAAAAAAATGCACAAATTTTCAAAAGGCACACACCTGGGCTGAAGTGTAAGGTACACCAGACACACGCCTTCTGAAGGTGCTGCACTTGGGACCTAGGCAAGGCGCTTAGGCACATACCCTAAAATGTACCTCGCATGTGCCCCTAGGCATGCCCTTTAAATCACTGGTTAAGTTTCATGGATAAAAATGGAAAAATCCCTGATTTTGCTCATTTGCTCCCATATTAGGGAAAAGAATGAATTAGAGGGAAAGAAGATTTGGTTGGGTGAGGTTTTTGCAGCAGGTTATTCAGTGAGGTGTATGTGCTGAAGTCTCTAGGGTTGTTCTTTCTTGGAAGCAAGAGTGTGTACATTTGTCTTCAGAGAATAGGGGAAAGGGACAGAGCAACTAGGTAGGCAAATAGAGAGCAAACATTAATTGAGAATAAAACGTTGATAATCCATATTCTGTGAGCTAACTCAATGGGGACCACCAGGGGAAGGGTCAAAAAAGCATTGAAAATGCATTACGAAGTCTTCTGGTAGTAGAAGGCTCTGAAGAGGGAATGAATGTGAATATAAGGGGAAGAGGCAGGAAGAGAAGGTAAGAAGTGAAAGAAGGTCATGGGAGGCTGAGGGGAGGTTTAATCCAATGTGAATGTTACTTCTTGCAATGCTTCAAGGGTATGGGTTGACTGTTTGTTCTTTTGTTTAATTGTCTTTAGCCTGGTTGAAGTTGTTGGTTATGTTCTTTGGTTTGGGTAGTTCTGCTTTGGTTATGACTTGGCTACAAATGGCTTGTAAGTTGCAAGTGGTCCTGTACATATATCTTCATGTATGGGCTGGGTGCCAAGTTATGGGTTTTCTGTGTCAGCCAAAAGCTAAAGGTTTTATTGACATCAGGGAAAACTCACCTCCCAAATCAGGGATAAGAGAGTCCAAAAAAGACAGCAAATGGCCGACACCCTATGTTTTATGTTTGTATCAACTTAGGCTGACCAATATCACCTAGCCCATTATCATTGACTATTTACATACAATATCAAGATATCCCCCGGAATAACCAAGCTCTATTTACTCCAGTTTTTGCCAAAGCATCAGCAAAACCATTTGCTGATCTATGAACCCACAAGAAGAGAGTATATAGAAGAATGACCTAAGTAAGCTAGGCCTCAAATGTGAAAACATGGAGCCTTGTTCCTCCAAGAAGGATGCACTAAGTAAAAACGTAAAAGAAAGCTAAACAAGTAAAAGAAATGTAAACCCTGCCGACCTGGTTGTACTTATTGGGTGGGTCTATTTTTTACCAACCATGAGTTGCTTTATCCGACTTCCTCTTAAAGCAATAGATCAGTAAGTGCACTATCTTCTTTCATTCACATAATCTCACTATTTGAGGGACCATTGCTTGGTATCACCAACTTCAAAACCCATATTGTTATACTGTCAAATTATTGGGTTCCCTATATAGATTTCAATATTCTTTATGCACATAATTCCATATGCTTTGTGGAGAAGGAAATTTAAGTAGTGCATATTTCACAATTTAACCATCGATATGGCCTTAGATAAAGTTGAATAGTGAAACAAGACTAGTTTAGATGGCCCCACACAGCTGGGATAAGGAATAAGGCTTTGTTGAGTTGAGTTGGGTTGTACAAGTCACCCCCAGAACTGCACCATTCACTGTCTTAAACACTATGTACACCGGTGTTCTCTAGATTGAAGGAATAAACTAAAAAAATCAAGGCACTGAACTAGCGCTGAAATCAGTATGTTTTGTTTATTTGGTGAAATACTAATCACATTGGTGAATGAGATGAATCATAACATAATACTTTTTTATTGATATTTGGTAATCATGACATAATACACATAGATATCTGGGATAGACAAGAAGATGATGAAAAGGCAAAGCAGACCTCAGGGCCAAGAAAGCGTTCATAGCCAACATCACAAGAGTATGGAGCCCCTGTTTTGGGTTTAGTGCCTTTCCATTGCTTGATGTACTTAGATGGTTCTCGATCATGCTTATTATACTCCTGAAATCATGGAAAATCTTCAATTATCATGATGCACTCATCTGGATACATCATCATTTGTTCTTACAAAATTTAGAATGCTGAAAGAAATATAAGCAGTTACACTTGCATTGTAGAAGTAGAACTCAAAAGAACAAAAGAAAATATATTATTTCTCTTCAAATTTTTTTCTAATACAGTAAAAGATTACCTTGACAATATCAGAACAAGTGTAGCAATACATTTCTTTCACCTTTCGAGCTACTTCAAAGCAGTCTTCTGCTGGAACATGCTCTCCTCTTTCCTATTTGAAGAAAAGTCAGAAAGTAAGCAACCACATATGGTTACTTATGAGTTCATGACCATGCACTTCTAAAATGCATAAATTATAGTTTTTAATACCACTCTGTATGTATGAATTTTTTTTTTTTTATCAGTCTGTATGTATGAACTTCTTTTCAGGTTAGTATTGACAAAGTCAGATTCGTCCATAAGAAACCTAGCAAGTGTTCAGCATCGCATAAACAGCTTCGGGGGTAAGATTATGAACTCCAACCCCTCTTCTCCAAGAGAGAGTGAAAGAATGAGTCTTCAAGTGTCAGAAATTGTAATTATACAAATGCATATTGGTATTATAGGAGTCAATAATCAGCTTCTTTATAAAAGTTACACTACAAAGTACTAAATTAAGCAGCCACTATTGCAGTATAATATAGATCCTATCCTTAATATCTAATAGAAATCTTGATAGGAGTGTATTATGTTTTTAACTGATCCAGCAAAGCTGCTGATTTCCTATAATGAGGGGACAAGTGGATGACAACCTCCATTAAATTATATAAAAATAATAGGATATGGTTTATGGGCCTAAGGTGAAAAAAGTTGTCTGTCAACATTTAACAGCCTGTGCAACAGAAACAGTCTGTCCACAGAGCTCCCCCCGTGTGACACGTTAGTCCATAATCCATATGAATTCCATGCAACAGCAACAGCGCTAAAGGCAGGGCTGCATGGAATAAGGTGCCACACAGGGAGAACACTGTGCCTGTGGACAGCACAGGCTGTCAAACGTGGACAGCCAGAGTTTTTTTCACCTAAGATTGCATGATAGCATGATGTTGGATGTTGCCACTGGCATTTACTTTTACTCATCATCATCTAAGCCTTCTCCCAATTATATGGGGTCATCTAGTGGCAGCTACTGTTCTGGATTATTTAGATCATCATCATCTAAGCTTTACTCCAGTTATATGGGGGTCAGCTACATGAATCCTGTTTTGCCATTCCATTCTGTTTAATTGGCCATATAAGGGCAGCCCAATGCATGAGGCTCCCACCAATGCGGGGTCCGGAGAGGAAAAGAGGTTGTTTCCAATGTTTAATTGTCATATCCATAGTTAAATTATGAGCACCTAAATCACTTCTTACTAATTTGACCCATGTCCTTTTTGGTCTTCTGGTGTAGCACTTCTAGCCCCTTCAACTTGTAACATATCACTTCTTACAGGTGTTGTAAGGGGTCTCATGTGACCAAACCATCTTAGTCTATTTTCTCTCATTTAATCACCTACTGGAGCTACTCCTAGTCCTAGGTTCCTTCAAAAGACTCATTTCTGACCCTATCATTTCTAGTTTTTCCACTTCCATCTCAGCAATATGCATTTTTGCTACACGCACTTTCTGGACATCTTAGTCTATTTTCTCTCATTTAATCACCTACTGGAGCTACTCCTAGTCCTAGGTTCCTTCAAATGACTTATTTCTGACCCTATCATTTCTAGTTTTTCCACTTCCATCTCAGCAATATGCATTTTTGCTACACGCACTTTCTGGACATGTTGTTTTTTGACTACCGAACACCCAGCTCCATACAACATAGTTGGCCTTACAACTGTTTTATAGAATTTTCCCTTTAATCTGAGTGGTATTCACCTATCACATAAGACTCCAGATACACCACCTCCATTTTCCCCATCTTGCTCTAATTTGATGGGTAACATCCTCCTTGATCTCTTTCTTGTTATGAATTATCAAACCAAGGTACAAAAAAACCTGAACTGAAAAGCAAGGAATAACTTAAAATTTTGTCCAGACAATATATTCTTCTTCTTTTCATAGGTGCCCCTGTTTTTTTTTCTGAATTTTCTTTTCTTATTCTTTTTCATCTCATGAATATGTTAGTTTTCTTTATTTTAATATGAAGTTCATACTTCTATATGAGGATTATAAATAATTACTACTGAAAGATGGTTGCCAGTTGCTATGGAACCTAGGGAACTACTCTAAGATTCATGGTTTTTATTTTAAAGGCAACACCAACTGGACTACAAGGCATATTCCCCTGACACCTAACCTCCAGCCTCATCTTGGTGCCTTGAAAATTATGTTCCCTCCATTGTATATATCATTGTTTAAACAACTTTTTATTTGTGACAGACAATGCCAATATTAACTTTTAAACAGTATTTTGGCCGTCAAACATTGATTACTAGAGATCTTAGCCTAAATATATTGCCCCATTTCATTAGTGGCTTATCAAACAGAAGAATCTCAGATTATATAATTTGACGCAAAATAGCAGTACAGGATTATAGGTCTACATATGAGTGGAGCCAATGATACAGTCCAAGAAATTTTTTTTTATCAATATACAGTCCAAGAAAATCTACTATCTGCAAGGATGAAAACCAAAGCCTTGTACCCTCATGAGCTGCTGAACGAAGAGAGTAACATCCTTCCCACAAATAGGAATAGATTTGATGCTGCTCCCAATAACATAACCATCTGCAACAGGCACAACATGAGTAGCTCCATCTCCAACGTCCACCACAACTCCTGTCATTTCACACTGAGGAAAGGTATAGGTTAATCTAAAATGCAAGGGCTAACTAATAATTATGGAGACAAATAATGGCATAATAGAAGCAAGGAGAAAGGTCTTTCCATATGTAGCACAGAAGTGTACCCTGAATCCTGCAGCAACTGACATTCCACCAGGTGGAGTGATGACATGGTAAATAATTAATCTAAAATGCAAGGGCTAACTAATAATTATGGAGACAAATAATGGCATAATAGAAGCAAGGAGAAAGGTCTTTCCATATGTAGCACAGAAGTGTACCCTGAATCCTGCAGCAACTGACATTCCACCAGGTGGAGTGATGACATGGTAAATAATTAATGAGGGATCTCTGGAGTCTGGACTAGCAACATGTATAACTTCCTTTTTCACACCAGCCTCAACCCCCCCCCCAGGCAAAAATAACTATATGTTACATTGCAGTTTCCCCCCAGTGAATTACAACGATTAAATTTTTCTCAAATCCGTTGAGGGCACATGTAGAGGTCTAAGGAAAAGAAACTTGCCACATGGGAAGGGAATGAAATGGGTTCTTTTTTTTTTATTGCAACAAGAAAAGGAGGGGTGTGAAATGAATCTTGCAAGTCATCAATAAGGGTTTAATGTGAAATTTTAATATATATATATATATATATAAAAAAAACAATGAAAGAACCGAATCAGCATTTCCTGAACTCACTAGTTGCTCTAACAAATTAAAAAATTCCAAGACTCCAGCAATTGTGGGAGAATTCAAATTTATCAAAATCAATGTGCTTGAAACTTTGAATTGGTGTGTTTGGCATGCATGTCAATGTCCTTGTTAGGTCATATGTTGATAGTTAGTTGTGCTCCAAGTAAAAGGTCTACATTTGTCCTTCATACTCCAATTGTTCAAGGCTACAAGTATAAAGTGTGGTTCTTCTATTTTCAAGCTTTTTATTGTCGCCTCCATAGCATTTTTCAAATCCTCTAGACAAGATGGTTTCCTTCTTCTCAGTAACCTAAAAGTCCCAAAGACCTTGCTTGGCCTGTTTGTGTGTTTGGCTTCCTTGCAAAACAAAATAATTTCATTCTGGTTTACCTTTAAACTTTTTTAGCACAACCCATCATCTTTTTTGGGGTTAAATAATAGAAGAGGTTAGACATGCTTCAGAGTAGCTTGGTAACACAGAAGTGACAGAACTTCACCATAAAAAAATGCAGCTGTTGCAGACTGTTAATAAAATAGCAGATTTAAGTATCTCAGCCTTGCTTAAAATTTTTATTCGTTTAAACAAGTGGAGATGAAACCATTTCAGGAGATTCCGCAAATACCATAAAATGCCTAAGAGACAAAGAGGGTGGCCCGTAGAGATTGAATCATTTTTTGACAGAAGCTAGAGACTCTTTGGAACAATGCAAATTTGACTTGGATTCCAAGGGATTTAAACTCTGTTGCAGATGGCATAGCTAAAATAGGTGCCCATTTGGATGTTTTATATAGCATTAGATTGATTCCTATGTAATTACCTAGGGTTTCCCCTTTGTATTGTGCATCTCCTCATGTACTTTCACTTTCTTCATAAAACTCTGTTACCTTTCCTCAAAAAAAAAGGTGTGGGTTCAAGTACCATGCAAAACCAAAACAAAATTATTCCATTTTACATGGCAATTAGAGACTGTCCGTCTACCAAATTGTGGATCCCCCCCTGATTCAGAAGAAGTAACTCTTTGCCATGTCAATTCCTTTTTTTTTGTGAGTTCTGTTGATGGTTTTCTATGTGCATGACCAAACCATCTTAATCTACTTTCTCTCATTTTATCACCTATTGGAATAAATCCTAAATTCCTACGAATGTCTTCATTTCTGATCCTATCATTCTAGTTTGTCCACTCATCCATCCAAGCATACGCATTTCTGTGACAATCATTTTCTAGACATGTTTCTTGACTGCCCAACACTCTACCCCATACAACATGGTTGGCCTTACAACTGTTTTATAGAACTTTCCTTTTAATCTAAGTGGTATTCAGCTATCACATAAAACTCTAGATGCACCCCTCCATTTTTTCCATCCTACTCTAATTCTATGGGCAACATCCTTCTCTGTCTCTTCCTTGTTATGAATTATTGAACCAATATTGTAAATATAACAAAGAGCACAACTGGAAGCCATAATAGATCACTTTCAATCCATATTCAGTACCACTTGGCCCAAAAGGATTTTATGTAGCCATCTCCAACAAAGGAAAATCTATTAGACGAATGCAATGTTGTTGGATGTTACCACTCCCAGAAAAAAGATGAATTGTCTAGTTTAGGAATCCATCCCAGAACGTGATGGTTAAAACGTCACCATTGTTTATAAAGAGTTATAGATTGAAAGGTACAATCACCTTCTCTATTAAAGACGTTGAGCCCAAAGAAATCACCTTTATGAATAAATGGAGAATAACTATTCAAAGTTCAATAAGAAACAAGGAAGTTGGAGATAATGGTCACAAAACATTCTTTTTGACTAATACTGAGATATACAATGTTGGTTCTTGCCTCTTCATGAGATATATAGCTCATTTTCTCCAAAGAAATTAAGACTGGTATCTTATTCTTTTTTTCATTTTCCCCCCTTTTCTTTTCTGTTTTCCTTTTTTTCTTGGGGGGGGGGGGGTAAGAACAGGGCTAGAATTGCATACATGTTGATCCTCCAGCAGGACATTCTCAGGTTACATATCCTTCATGTCTAATTAGGAAGATATGTATCTCCATAGTGAAAGGAGTATAAATTCATTTCAGATTCTGGAATTGTAACTTGTAAGCTCTTTGTTGTTCAAATCCTCTAAATCTTCTACATGGTTTGTGGAGCCCAAATCCCTCATGAGTCATGCCCAAGGAGATGACATTCCACGCATCTTAGTTTTAAGGAGGAGAAAAAGAATATGGTCTAGCAATACACCGAGAGGAAGAAACTGCAACTACCTTGAAAATTCAAATTTGTATTCTGGTGGATTTCCCTTCAGAAAACACCAAAAAAAAGGAATATCTCATACGGTCGTACCATTTATTCACTTTAAATCAACCTGTTTAACTTCTCATTCCTGGTCATCCTTGTCGCATCCAATGGAAAAAACCTGGATAACCTAAACTTTCTATTGTAATAATTCATATGTAGAACACCCAAAAAATCATGTATATGGGGAGGAATAATGCCAAAGCACTATTAAGGTTGCCAAAAAAGAAAAAAAGAGTTATCACTTATCTTTTTTTTTATCAATAACAGAAACTTTATTAAAATTTATGAAGCTTTAGGTACAATAAGGAGGAGATAAAAGTCTTAGCTCCCCATCAGCAAATTACAATGAAAGAAGATTAAAAATAGCCTCCCTATTCACCCCTTGCTTGGCCAACCCATCTGCAAAAGAATTAGCAGTCCTTTTCACCCAGCTGTATTGTATCTCAATGCCCCTATGTAGCCATAAAAATTTTTTCTTTTCATTATTGTAACTCCACAAGCCACTATCCTCTTTCTTCAACCAGCTAATCACCACCTTTGAATCACCTTCCAAAATCAGCCGACTGATATTTAGTTCCCTTGCTCTTTGAACCCCTTCCATAGCTACAAGGATCTCAGCCCTAAGAGAGACTCCTTCTCCAATAGGGCCTGAGAACAGAGCAATAACAATCCCTTCCTCATTCCTAAAAACTCCCCTAATCCCAGAGGGCCCTAGATTCCTTATGATACTGCCATCAAAATTCACTTTTATAAATCCGGAGGGAGGAGAGGACCACAAGGGAGTAAGAGTCCTCTTACACAGAGTAGAGGTTGCTATCTCTTTCCAGTTTCTTAACAGGTTAGCTATAGGAAAGTCTGAGAACAATTCTATAGTTTTTAGCCAGTGGGCAGCCCTTAAAAGTGTTAGGTCTAATAGGTCTTCCAGGGATCTTTCCTTTTCTGAAAATATTCGAGAGTTTCTTTCCTCCCATAGCGACCAACACACGGCTGCCCTAATACTCCTCCACATCATCTTCCCTCGCTTCTTAGGCCATCTGAAAAACAAAGGGGAGAACAAACCTTGGACACTCTGAAGAGGGTTCCAAGTACACCCAAAGCGAGAGAGTACCCACTCCCAAACAGTTATAGTAACCTTATAAGAAACCATAAGGTGGTAACTGGATTCCCTATCATCCTTACAGAGAGAGCATCTATTAGGAAGTAAACAAGAATTGGGTTTCTTTTTCTGAAGTAGATCATTTGTATTTATTCTTTCCAAGAAAATTTCCCAACAAAAAAACCCAACCCGAGAAGGAATGGGCTTGCTCCAAATTTCCTTAGTCGGAAAGGACACACCAAGAGGGACAGATGATTGAGTTAAGGTTTCAAAAAACGAAGCACAAGAGAAGGTTCCTGAAGTAGAAGGGATCCAAATTCTGGTGTCTTCCCTATTAGGATCAAGGAAGATATTCTCAAGGATGGCTAATAAAGGTAAGAGGCTGTCCAAGTCTATATCCCTAATTGCCCTTCGCAGGAAAATGGAGTCTGAAGGAACTAAAATAGAAGAGATAGGTTCATTTTTCAAATCTGACAGAGCATACAAGGAAGGAAACTGGTCCTTCAGAGGTGAAACACCAACCCAAAGATGTTCCCAAAATTTTATTGAATTGCCAAAGTTAACACCGTACTTGATCCAAGGGGAGAAAGCTAGAAGCAGATCATGGATGGATTTCCACGGAGAAGCAACTGTAGCCCTTGCCACAATTCCAAAATCCTAGTCGTTGTCTTCCAGCCCATGTATGCTAGCCACGATCTTTGTCCACAATTTTTCCTTTTCCATTGTGAACCTCCACAACCATTTTCCCAACAACGCCATATTCCTTTTCTTGATGTTTCCAATCCCAAGACCTCCTAGTCTTTTCCATCTAATTTACCACCTCCCGTCTCACCCTATGATCTCTCTTCTCCTCTCCCGCTCCCACATAAAATTCCTCATTAATTTTTCCAATAAGTTGGAGACCTTGGTGGGGATCTTAAACACTAACAAATAATAAACAGGTAAAGTTAGCTAGGGTGGACCTAATCAGAGCGACTCTCCCTCCTAAGGAAAGATAATTTCAGTTATCACTAGGTGTATTTCTCTCAATGATCAATAAACGCATTGCTCTTTAAGTGTTTGCAGAAAAGCATCATGTGTTTTTAGGTCCTAAACAATTGCATAATTTTTATAGTTTTTAGAAGTGATTTAGTTATGCAGTCCTCTATAACCTTTTTTTTTTCGAAAAGTTATCGGAGAAAAGAAAATAAATAACCCAAACGAGACTTTCAGACATCTGATGACCAAAAGGTCTACTAAATATCTCTTAATAACCGAACCCCAGGATAGAAAGCCATCAAAATATAAGTAACTAACTAATTATTTGCTTGAATCCCTGAAAGTTACTTTCCATTTTATTCAATCCCCTAAAGGTGGTCAAATGGAGGAAATATTATTTACGAATTCTTTAATTCAGGAAAAGAAAGGAGATAACATTAGACAAAATCGTTCAAAAACACCAACCTTAGAAGTTGTGTATCCAGCGGCAAGAGCAAGCACTGGTTGTACCGCGATATAAAGGCCAGGAATATTAAAGGTCTCGAACATAATCTCGCCGGTGTACTCTCGGCTCTCGGGAGCAGTGAGTGGACTCTCGGTCAGAAGGAAGTAATGATCCTCTGGGTCACAACGTAAGTAATTGAATATACACTGTTGCCAAAAACGTTCCATGGCATCCCAATTCTCCACCTGACCATGACGAATAGGATAACTAAGATTATAGGTATTACTTGATCGAGATCGAGCTAGAGCTTCCTCTCCAATAAAGAAATCAAGATCGGCCATGACACCCGCACTGTGCTGTGCAAGCCAATTGCTCTTCCCAGAACTCCTCGATGGATTCGAGAAGGACTCATTAACGGCAACAACAGTCGGGACGATAAAACATGGCTCGACGTTACCGGCGAACCCCATCTTGGTATACCTGCAAGGGGAGGGGGGCAAAAAAAGTGATCAGAAACGGGGAAAACCAAAAGGCGAAGGTAAAATTTGTCGAATAGGTGGAGGATGCGTATGGGGGCATAGGACGGTACCCGGTACCGTTGTCGATGACTACAGCGGGACGAGAAGCGGCGGCATCCATGGGAAAAGCAAGAGAGTCTGGTGGATCTGCGGCTGAGATCCGAGGAGGGTTTAAGGCATAGGATCATGGTCGTGGTAGGCGCCTCGGGGAGCGCGAAGGAGAAGTCGACGTCGATCGCAAGCGAAAGTGGCGACTCAACGCACACCCTCGTAGCTTGAAGAGGATTCCTCCATCCATTTCAAGGATAAACAAAGGGGTTGCAGACTGAGATCATCGTAGCCATCATCATTATGAGCTCAGCTTCTTTTCTTGGCAACCAAACAATCTAAGGTCCATTAGTTTATAATAAGCCTGTTTTTGTCTTTTTCTATTCCTTGTGCCATGCTGGAGTGTACTTTTCTTATTCTCCAGCTACTGTACGTATATTTGATGCTGTACGTTACGTGGCGTTCGTATGTAACAGGCACGTTAACTAACCGTACCATGTAATATTTTTCATTCAAACGTTTTTATTTTGTTAGACAAAAATTATTTATTATTTTTGTTAAAATGATTAAAATAAAAAAAAAAACGTAAATGAGTCCTAATTTTTAATACATTTAAATTTTTTATTTTCATTATTTTTATTTTTAATTATTATGACAAAAATAATAAAATAATAGATAATTTTTATCAGACATAAGATCTAAAATGTGATATTATATATATTTTTAAGTTCGACGAACACATCTAGCAGATCCTGACCTTCCATTTGCTGATCGTGGTTCATCCGGATTCAGAGCCTCCGTATACTACGATGTCGTGTGAAAAATCAAAAAAGAATTACCAGGAAAACGAGCCATGGGAAATGAGAGGAAAATGATGCAATTGAACGCAATATTCAACGATTTTTTTCTTTTCATATTGAAGGTTTGCCACGTGGCCTGTTCTACTGTCTAACACATTGAAAGGCCACTTAGAGGAAAACAAAAAATTCTGAACTATTAAACGAGTCTATGCAATTCCGAATACCTACCTCATCATGGTGAAATCCACCGTTTACCGAAGATTTTAGCAGTCTAAAATCGACACGTTACTTCATATTAACATATTAATTGGGTTTTTTACATTAATTGGATGCATTGTTTGGTGAAGTAACGTATCACACTATCACGGAGAACCGTGTAGGCAGCCTCGGCTGTCGAACTCAGACGCCCAAAGCCTCTTATAAACTTGTACATGGAAGAACGCATGAAATCTCACGATTTATTTCCCAAAAAAAGTCCCACTGTTTACAAGGATTCCTCTTGCTCTGTCTTTTGCAAGCCACGTAAAGACAAATCAAAGGAAGTACGTTAGGCATGTTTACGGCGGTGTAAGTTTTCTGCCGTACATATATAGATACAACAAAAGGATTAGGACGTGGCCACATGGGAGCCAATAACGAAATCGGTGAGACATCACTGAACAGGTCTGATGTGGCAAAAATCATCAATCACATAAGTTGGCCGTCTGAAAGAAAGAAAGAAAGAAAAAAAAACACCCAGCAGCTAGCTGTTTCAGTGTTTGTATACTTGTCTAAACGATGCGTTAGGAATTTAGGATAGGTTTGGGGTAAAATAGTAAATAGAACTTATAGGGCAACTTGTGGCTCATCTTTCCACCTCAAACATATATGGTGAAGCATGGAGAGAAAGAAGATAGAAAGACGTTTCTGATTATTTTAACATGTCGGATAAAGGGCTCGTGTTTGAGGAAAAGTGGATCTCCTTGGACGGTAGGACATCGAGAGAGACAAAATGGGAAGGCAAACGATCACACTCCCATGATACCTTGACATAAATTGGATTCATTCATTTTGCATCGATTTCATGGTTATCGTCTATAGGAGAACAAGATTCATTATTTTTTTTGTATTAAATGAAATCTATTCTTATGCACTAAGGGTAGGGGAGTCTAACAAAACTACATCTAGGGGTGAGAAAAAACAAAAAAAACAAAAAATTGAATCGACCGAAAAAATCGATTGAAATCAACAAAAAAATCAGTTAACTAAATCAATTGGTTCATTTTTTGTTTGGTGTTTTTAAAAAAACGAAGGTACCAGTGGTTCTGTTTCGGTTAACCAATATAGGAAATCCGCAGTTAACCGAATTGATTTATATATTTTTTATATATTATAAGTTAATAAATAGGTATTATATATAAATATATATTTATAATATATGATATATTATTTATTATTTAAAATATAATATTTTATATATTTATAATTTTGTATTATAACTTATAATATATATTGTAAAAATTTAAAAACCGAAAAACTGATGAACCGAATCAACGGTTAACCAAACCGGTCAACCAATTAACCGATTGGCTTCATTTCGGTTTCGGTTAACAATTTTCCAAAAACTGGTAGTACCGATTCGGTTACAAAAAAAAAAAAAAAAAAAACCATGGTTTGGTTAACCGAACCGTGAGCACCCCTAACTACATTAGACATGCATGGAGGAAGACATAACAAAAGGGCAAGGTTCAAAATTTCGCAATGTATTAGACCATATCAGTCGATATGTATCGTTTCGGTACAAGTCCGATACACCATAGAAATTATCTATAGTGTTCCTTTTCGTATGTATCGGTCTGGCCGTGCAAAATAGATACAATAGAAAACCCCTTCTCTCTCATTAATTTCATTAAACTATATGTAGGGCGAAATTACCTCATTAATTTTATAACTCCTATATTTAAGTGTAATTTTGCTCTTATTAATTAGTTAATTATTCCTATAATTAATGCATAATTTTAAAATTGAATTTCAATTTTAGCGCCTCATTGGAATTCTGTTCTCATTAATTTCGTTAATTAATAACCCTCTTTCTCATTAAATTCGTTTTGTTAGTATAAAACTACAACCTTAGCAATAGCAATATTTGAGCCCTAGTCATTAGGCTTTAACAACTAGAGGTTCACCACTAAACCACAACCATTTGCTTGCTATAAGTTTATGAATTTTTATTTTTAAGTAAATTTTATCTTTTTCTTAGTGTATGCTTATCAATAGATGTTAGAATTAATTATTAAAATTTATGTTTTAATAAATATTAAAATAAATTATATTGATTATTTTAAAACTAATGTATATCAATATACATTTTAGTTTTTTTTCATGTTTTAGTTATTCCATCACTTGTCAATAGTTACTAAGTGTGTCCTGATATCTCGAATTTTATATAGACCATCAAATTACAGTTTGTTTTTTACTTTTAAATAACTTATTACAATCATATAAAACTTGTAACTATCATTATTAATATATTCTTTAGGATTTATTTGAGTTTTTTAACATATTTATGCATATCTTAATTTTTCATTTGTATCCATATGTATCAAAAACGTATCTCAATACATTTCTTAAAATTATCTTTCCCATACATCTTACATTTTCGATACTTTAAACCTTGCAAAAGAGCAACAAATAAGGGCATTTGAAAGACCCTGGTTGGCAACTCGATCGACTACTATATTAGCTTCTCTAAGCACAAGCAAACTAACCACATCGGAAGCCAGCATTGAGTGGTCCAATTCCAACCTATGCTTGTTCAAATCAAACCAGATGCTTTTACCCAGTGAATGCAAATCAGTGGATTAGTGCTTGTGTTTCCATAAATTTCAGGGTTTCTCTTTGGTGGGAGTATAATAACAATAAAGAAGTAAAAGATTTGAGTTCGGATCCACTCACGTGAGGACAAGACTTTTTTTGGTTTCACGTGGAATTGGACTGATCAATTGAACACCCAACTTTGAATATAATTATAGAAAGAGAATAATAGGGTTTTGCATGAAAAGAATGGTTCACTTCGACTTCTCAGAGAGCGGAGCTTTACGCACTTTTTAGGGAGCATCTCCTTGCTTTTAATATCATCTATCTTGCTTTATGCAATTATTTTGGTTATTCTATTACTTATATTTTGTTACTTCTAGTTACAATTATTTTCTTATTACAGTTAGGCTTGATATTCTAGTTGGTTTGTTTCCCTTTATTTCATCTTCTAGTTTAGTTACGTTTCAACTTTAGTTAGCCTCGAGCCTTTCAATCTGATATTAATCTTTCTTGTCAATCTTTTCGCTCTTAAGTACCTATTTGATGTTACACCGCGTCTTTCCCTACTCTTCTTCGCCACTTGTAATTACTCTCTGCTGCATAGTGTTAGGTGGCATTTTCACTTCTCGCTTCTTACTTTTTTTTGTCTTATTCATCTTCTTCTTCCTCCTTTTCCCCTGCTTCAATCTCCCTGTACCTTATCTCTTTCTCCTACCCAGTCCTCTTCTTTCCTCCTTTCTCAGCCTCCTCATGGAAGACTTAGACACCTTGAATGAAGCCTTTCGTAACATGCTCCAGGCAAACAACATACCTGGCATAGAACTCGTTGATATTCAATCCCATCTTCCTCCAAACCATCATGAAAACTGGAAAATTTCTTTTATCTGTCATCTTCTCCCGCGTTTAATTGACCAATTTTTTGAATTAGAGGAAGGCCTTTACTCACTCTGGAATCTTAATCCTAATTGCCTCTTAATAGCTCATTTTTAGCGAGGTCACTTTAGATTAAGGTTTCGTTATGAAAATGACTTTTGTTAGATTTCGTGACAGTGGTCCTTAATTGAACTATGGGTTCAACTTCATGACCTCCCTATGAAATCCTATCTGAAGCTGTAGGACGTCTCTCTTTGAAAGAATTGGTCCCACTCGTGAAATAACAATTCTTCAAAATTACATACGAGCAAAAGTGCTTGTCATTATTGATTAACCTCTAAAAGTAGGACGTTTTTATAGTCCCATTCATTGTGTAGTTTACCACTATGAAGATCTTCCATTTGTGGTCGAGTTGGTCATTATTTTCAGCGATGCTCTCAACCTATACCTCATGTTTTTGGCCAATCCTACGAATAATATTTTAATCAATGAGTCATGCATTTGCTTGGACCTTGTTACATGCAGAAATACATATGAGGCGTAACTGGCATTGTCTTTCTTTTCGGTCTTTTATTCACGTTCTAGTTCCACCAAACCCTTTTCCAACATCCAATCCTTCAGTTTCTACCCCACCTGTTCCCCCCTCGTTCTTCTCACCCCACTAATACTATTTTAGCTCGAGTTAACTCTTCAGAGCCCTCATCATCTCAATCTACTAGTTCTCATACTTTAAGAATTTCTCCATAAACTTTTCATCTTGCTGAACATACCCAGCATCTCTTAACTAATTTGTTTCCTTCTTCTTCAATGGATCCTTCCTCTTCTCGAGGAAAACGACCTCGGATCAACCTTCTCCAA